AAGTACTCCATGCCCTCTTAACAGCAATGCCATACAGCACGCTAATGGTGCGGCTCAAGCCCAATCTTCGCAAGCACAGGCTGCCGTCTCCACTTACACCACACCTCCCACCGTCACTAATACACTTTCGAGCGCTAATCCTCATGTAACAATAAGATACTGGACTCGGTCCTGGCTCTTTATCTGTTGCGCTTCTACTGAGTATACCCATGATCATCAGTAATATATCCCGTATCTGAATTCTTGTCCCTTACAAATTTCTTTCCCGTCTCATCCTTCCAATATGTATCCTCACTTGAGCGAGCCTATATTTCAGTTTATGCGACGGACGTACTAGGCCGACCACACCCACGTGACAGCGTATTCAGTCCTGTTCATCGTCTCCTAAGATAGGGTGCAGTGAGGTTGAGCAAAGGGATGCTAGTAAACTCGTTTATGGGCTAAATTGCAGACATGAGCTTATGTCTAGGCCTTGAGCTCTAAGAACATTGAGACTCTGGCTAGAAGACAAACTCGAAAGAGCCGTCGTCCAAACTCTTCTCGCAGCCGTAGAAGTAGTCATACCTTTTACATACCATGGTCGGTTCTATCATTGTCGTTGCGATAAGTTCCCTGGTTATGAAAGCCTTGAAAGGTGATCATTGGGAATCTTCTCAATAAACACTACTGAAGTGAGAAACACTTGCATTCGCGTGCTGCGGAAATGATACATATGTAGACTGACTCTGGTCACATAAGTGCAAGAATGTGGGGGGTGAATCAGTCTAACTCCAACACCGTTCCACGCTGTACACTTCCCCAACCTGATGGAAAGTCAGCGAATGAGTCCCCTAATTCCACAGAAATACTTGCCTACAAGCCGCCAATGCTTCTCGATACGTCTCGAAAGTGCGACCTTCTCTCCAACCTCAGTACATGCGGGTGAAGTCAATTGAATCTTCGCGAGATCTCCTTTCACGCTCAACACCCGCCCACCAGTCGAAGTCGAACCAATGTTAATCAGCAGGAGCTCGTTCTTGGCAAGTTTCGAGACTTTTGTTTGTTTCTTGTCTTCTGTACGAACACCAAGCAGACGACGGAGAAGGAACAAGCTGATTTCAAGTTCTAGATTCTCTTTAGAACGTGATATTATATCGAAACTAAGGATGCTTACCAGTATAGACTTTCGGGAGCTTCCCGACCGCACCCAGCACTTGACCGACGAGACGATCTGCTCTGCACAGTGTAGGATCAATCTTGGTCCCAACACCAATCAGCCCTCCCGGAACTGCAAACTGCAAGTGATTGTTCTCGGCGTGCAGAGAGACGATCCTGCTGAAAATGGGCTTGCAGCGATTCCGACCCTGAGTATCTTTCGTTACAATTCCTGGGCGAATCTCGACTTCTTGTCCTAGCCGTAGGACGCCTGTGAGGATAGAACCACCGGCGACACCTCCTTTGAGCTCATCGACCTCGGCACCAGGCTTGTTGACGTCGAAGGAACGAATAACAATGAGACGGGGATCGGAAGTAAAGTCCCGGACTGGGATAGGTATACGCTTTACGATGTATTCGTTGACAGCGTCGATGTTGTATTTCAGTTGGGCAGATATAGGAACGATGGGTGACGACTCGGCCACCGTGCCTGTTATGAGCATGAGTACAACATTCAAGATTGCATGCCAGGGAGGATGCACCTTTGACGAATGCAGCGATTGATTTTTGGTGCTCAAGAGCTTGAGCTTCCTTGATCAAGTCGACCTTGTTCTGCAAAATAATGATGTTTTCCAGTTTCATGATTTCAACCGCAGCCAAGTGCTCCGATGTCTGCGGCTGAGGGCATGTTTCGTTTCCTGCGATCAGAAGAAGAGCAGCGTCCATGACCGCGGCACCGTTGAGCATGGTAGCCATCAGAATATCGTGACCGGGACAGTCCACGAAGGAAACATGGCGAATGAGTTTCATCCTGTGACCACATCCTGGGCGTTCGCAGGGAGGATTATCTTCCTTGTCTGAGCGGTAAGATCGATAGCAACCTGGGCGGGGGCATGCCTCGTTCTCGCACTTGTAGATCTACGATGATTGTCCTCGAGATTAACAATAGATCAGATCCAAATGAGAAGGAACACACTTTTGCATTTGCATAACCCAGCTTAATCGTGATGTTACGGACGAGCTCATTTTTGAATCGTACAGTCATGACGCCTGATATGGCCTTCACAACTGTTGATTTTCCGTGTGCGACATGACCGATCGTTCCTGCAAAGACAGATGAATGGCTAAATTATGTGAAGTCGCAGAATTCTGCATACCCAAGTTGATTGTAGCCTGAAAGGATCGCGTTCGATAAGTTGCTTCAGATGAAGGAAAGCTGCTTGCGCACCTGTTTTGATATTACTTCAGGCGAAAGTGGCGTCAGCTTCGTGATATCTATGTCAATCTTTGGGATATCTTCCAGTTGTTCCTCTTCTTCATCAGAGTCTGATTCTTCGTGGTGTTTTTGTAAAGTTTCTTCGTCCGACATTTTGTGTGATCAAGGTAGGAGGTCGGCGCTTTTCAGCTGTGACTCGAAAAAGTCCCAAATCTGAATAATAGGGTGGATCATGCAATCCTAATCGAGCAACACTACTAGTACTCACAACTTTCATGTATGTTTCTCCAACGAAATCATGAACAACGTCCACTTCCCAGTTCAAGTTGTTGTTTTATTTCGACGTCTCGTCAATGTCATGACTTCCTTTTCATTATCTAGCCAGTACCTCATATCGAAGGTCAGAGCCGAAGATGCCCCCAATCACACACCCAAAGTTCACACCACTTCCAATAACATTTGGTGGAACCCGTGGTATCTGACTAAGTGGGACTGGCTTCGTGTAGGGTCACTTGTGGATAGTGTTTCGGAGCAACCAACCAAGCGCCTTGCTCCAAAGTTTCCTCATTGGACCTCGGAAGGCAAGTCACTACTTTTGGCGTCCACCAGCATCCACCAGACTCATGCAGTCGTCCATAAACAGGCCGATGCTTCTTCAAGGACGATACCAAATCATCGCCTTTAAATTTATCTCCTTCTAATTCCCAAGTTCCATCTGAACCTCATACCGCTGCTCTTGGCACGTTCACTATCAAGTCCGGTTTGCCGCGGGGGAATTTACCACCTCAAGGACCATCCGAAGGTGAATCCAATGACACCATTCATCTCTTACTGCGAAATCCAGCACTGTATGATCCGATAAGAGCCCCTAGGTTTCCGATTGTCCTCTGCCACGGTTAGTTTATCTTAACCGGTTCAATTAGAATGAATCACACAATGATCCATAGGGCTATACGGTTTCGATGTGCGAGGTCCTGCTGCATTTCCAAGTCTCCGAATGCACTACTGGGCCAACGTTCTCAACATTCTCAAAAAGAAGGTCGGAGCAGACGTTATTGTCACAGCGGTACCCGCGTATGGTCATCGAATTTAGTACTAGGCCGTTTCTTATTTTTTTTTCTACTTAGAACGGGTTCTATAGCATCAAGGGCAGAAAACCTTGATCGGTTGCTCCAGGATAAAGCTAGAGGACGAGGTGTCAATCTCATGGCTCATTCCATGGGAGGTCTTGATTGCCGCCACCTCATTACACACGTGCAGCCAAATGACTATACCCCATTATCGCTGACAACAATCAGTACTCCCCATAGAGGAAGCCCCTTTATGGACTGGTGTGCGGTAAGTTCCAAAGTTTTGTTCTCGTTTTGCAGTGCATTCACTTTGCTTGACGCTAAGGCAAATATCGGCCTCGGAAGACGACCCCAAAAAGAAGTATTCAAGAAAACGACTGAGATTCAGGAGCAGCCTATGTCGGAAAAAGGGACGACTACTGAGAAGCGCGAGACTTCATTCTCCTTGTCACTGGCTTCTTTCCCATCTTCTTTCACAACGCTCTTGCTGTCCATCCTAGACTCGCCTGCATATGCCAACTTGACATCGTCCTACCTCAACGACGTGTTCAATCCCGCCACCCCCGATGATCCACGTGTCAAGTACTTCAGTGTCACTGGACGTACCGCCGACATGAGCATATGGCACCCGCTTTGTCTCCCAAAGATGGTGCTCGATGAGTTGGAACGAGATGCGAAGGAACGCATTGAGCGCCAACACGCCGACTCAGGGGACATGACGTGGGAGCAGGACGACCAGTGGGGGAACGACGGTCTCGTGACCGTGCAGAGTGCAAGGTGGGGTGAATTTCTCGGGATAATGGAGGGCTGCGATCACTGGGAGATCAGAGGTGCCCGGGGACTGGAATTCAATGTTGACATGTCATCTGTGCCCTTGACGAGCATAGCGGGTCGCGTCAGCGCAGATGGGTGGGCGTTCGGCGACTGGTCGAAGTTTATTCGGGCGTGGAAGAAGCAGGAGAAGGGGTCGTCTGGTGGGTATGAGTTTGCTGGTGCTGGTGGATCTTCGATGTCGTCATCGGACCCGAGAGTCTCCCGAGGGGCCAGGGAAGAGATGGATAAGGAGGGCGAAAGTGACCCTGTTGTGAAAGCGTCAACGGATAAACTCTCGGCCGTGTTCGATTGGATCATCGATCAGGTCCCATCGACGAGCAAGTCTCCTCCCCCTGGAGACACTTCAGAGAAGCAGAAGGCCAAGAAGTCGGTCAAGCATGAGCTGGCCTCTAAATTGGATCTGGAGAGATTTTATGTTGCGTTATCCCGGAAGCTGTATGATGAGGGGTTGTAAATCCATATTTAATGTAGTTTATTCCATTCTATTAAAGACGCAACTATGCAAATTTGCCGCGCAAGTTGACCTAGCAGTTGCACTAAAGGTAGGACTCTTTCGCTAATCCTCAAATATAGTGACATTCCGATCACCTAGCGTGCGGAGATTCCATTGCTATTCTACGTTAAGGCATATGCATGAAAGACGAAACAAAACAATAAAAAAATCAATCGACGACAGTGAGCGGCAACGACAAAAACGTCAGGGTGCGCAGAACGGACGAAGACGGTAAGGTAGTAGGAGCAAAAGAAGATAAACAAGTGTGATAATCTTACAACATACTCATCAAGCCGGCATCATTTCTGATCAAACCCGTCTTTGTCTCCACCTCCAGGAAGTACTCCAGTGCTCTCCTGGCCTTCCTCTCCATCTCCTCTGCGTTCTTGACTTCTTTGCTTCTCTCTTCCATTGCGGCTCTGAAGCGCTCCCTGAGGTCCCAAGATGCTAGGCGCAAAACCTTGCGCGTTTCCTTGCTGACACGGCAAGCATGGGCATTAACGAATAGTTCGTTCTCAGTTGCGTTCTCGTCAATGGCAATCAGGGATGTACGAATGCGACGACCAATTGTGCGTGGAATGGTGTGGGGTAACTCAAGGACAAAGTAGGCAGTTGCACCGATAACGAAAGCGCCCAGAACGGGAGCCGCCCATTTCCTTGCAGTCTCATTTCCGAACAGCTCAGAAATGCGCACTATACCATCGATAATGCCTCTGCTACCAAATGTCTGACCGCCAACCATTGTTAGCGCACCGACGCCGACGGAGACGACGCTAAGTGCAGTAGTAGGGCTGGTCTCATCCTCCACTTCCTTCTTGTCATCGGAAAAGTGAAGCCAGAGCCGGTGGAAGTCAAAGATGTCGAAGGCAGACGTTTCTAGCATGTCTGAGCGCTGAGAGAGGCCAATGCCAAGATTGTGCACCCCTCCAGCCACGACAGCGGTGGCTGTTGCGGAGGAACGGCGGACTCCCCTCCTGCCTGAGCGCAATGAGAACATGGCTTCGGGCATAAATACCCTTTGCGACTTCTCTACTCCTTCAGGAAGATTAGCGTCGCCAAGCTCGCCGATCTTCTTCACCCCTGCAGATGTAGTGACGCGCGCTTCATCTTCAGCTAACTTCACAGCCACATCCAAGCTTGCCAACAAAGTCTTCTTTACATCTCTGGCATAATCCCAAATACGAAGGAATCCAGGGAAAGCTGGCAGGGAAATAGTGGCATGATCAACGCCAGGCAGGCCTTGCCCGACGCGCTCGATAGCAGCGGAAAGAATGGTCTTTGTTCTGGCACTCGTCTTCTCTGCCCCCAATTCCTCCACAGACTCCAGATTTTCTTCCAGTAATTCCTGGTTGTCCTTCATCTTCTCAAGAACTGGCTTCACACGCATCAAATCGTCTTTAACGCGGTCAAGGTCAGATTGGGCAACGATGGCATTTGCGCCAACCAAAAGATCAATATCGGATAGAAGGTTGGAGAGGTAAGTCGCGACAGGCTGGAGCTTCGACTTGGAACGTTTGACGAGAACGAACGAACGCAGGGAGGATTCCAGGTCGTCAAATGCCGGATTGGCCGTGTACGGTCGGAGAGCAGCGGCAGAATCAACGAAGTGAACAAGGTCTTCAGCGTCCTCGTACGTCCTAGGGCTCAGCTGCTTGATTTGTTCCAGCACCAGCCTCTTGCACTTCTCCTTGTTTTTGATGTGCTCGAACTTGTTCACGACAATGAAAAGGTATGCCTTCTCGTTGCTAGCGTTTGATAGGAATTCTTTGGAGGACAAGGTGAAGTGATTTTCGGCGGAAACGACAAAGACAATGACGTCAATCTCCTCCTGACGAGTGAAGAGAGCCGTTGTCTTCAAACTATCGCGATTGAGACCGGGTGCATCAATTAGGGATATGTCAACAACCCCGCTATTGAACAATGATTCAGATGGTGCCCGGCTGTCAGAAAGGTACATTTTCAAGACCGGCTGAACGCCCTCATTGTCTGTGACAATCGTCTCCAAATCTGAAAGTGAAACGCGAGTGAAGGTCGACTCATCCGCGATGTCATACACCACACCCTCCTTGATGATATGAACTTCCTCCTTGCCATTATTCTCAGCAGCATCGTGCACTTCGCAAAAGGCAGTTGTGCAGGGCTGCTGGTCAATTGGCATTACCTCACGCCTAAGAAGGGCGTTGACAAACGTAGATTTTCCAGAATTAAGGTCGCCGGTGACAAGAACTTTTGACGAAGTGTCCTCCACACGAAGGCGGAGTTTATCCATATGATTGACAGAAGCACCGATACGTTCGTCCAATAAACTGGCAATAGAACCTTTTTCGAGGTGTGATACGAGAGCGGCAGGGGATGTGGTGGAGCCATGAGGTCCGAGCTTGAGGTCCAGACGAAGGATATTAAAATCTCCATTTTGAGACGACAGCATTAACTTCTCTCCCTCGCAGGTGTCCCGTTCACCCTGACTCGTGCCTTCATCCACAGGTTTGACATCAGTGCCTTCCAGGGCGTCAGAAATTGACGCAAGTGTGACAGCTCGGGCCAAGCCCTCTCGCACAGGAGTATAAAGGACTTCTGTTTGGTTGTTCGGATCATCTGCGAACGAAAGCGAACGGCGAATAGAGCGACGAGGTTTCGTCCTCGATAGCGATGAAGGCTCTGTGGAGGGCTGTTCATGTAGAGTAGGGTACCTTACTACCCACTCCTCCTTATTGAACCGACGCAGTTCCCCGAGAATGGACTTGGAAGAATCAAGGGCCTGGATCAGACTGGTTGACGCATCAGAAAAACATAAAAAGTGAGAAAAGATTTCAAACAAACCGATCCTTTTGTTCAATGTAGGCTTCTTGAACATCCTCCACCTTTAAATGCTTCTCACCGCCATGATTCGAAAGCAAAGGCTCCTTCGCCAGCGATGAAGATGACCGATTTGGGGCGGAAAAGTAAGATTGCGCCATTGCAATAAATGGCCTTTGCGCCTCCAAACTACTTGAAACGTCGAGCACAAGCGAGACAGGTGAGTTGTGCAGTGTGAATGAATTCGACGCCTGTTGCCAATATCAATGATGATGTATGTTTGGTCAGCCGCTGCGCTTACTCAGCCGTCCGGTTCTCCCCGACTTCCAAACTAGGACTCGACGTCTACTGCAAGCGCCTCGTATTGTAGGCTACAACATCTGTTACTTAACGAGCACGGCGACTTCAATGCGTGTTAGCAGCGAGCTTGGTCGATACTAACCAATACGGCGACAGTGTCTTGGCTTTGTTTCGCAACCTTGGCTCAACGAAACTCGATACTGAACGAAAATATGGTCCAAGGGAATTCGCAAAATTTGTCTGTGAGCAATCTACAATCCATGCAATCTTATGTTGACAATACCTTGTGCTGACTTATTCGCCTGTACTGTAGGCTTTACTCATGGTCTTGTTTGAATCTGGTCAGGAATTTGAATTTACCTGTTTTGCAATCAAACCATGAGGCAGAGTCGTGCGCAATGCATTTGCAGTGCTGACCTATCCCATTAGTTTTATTACTCTCCGGCCGACGTTCGACTTGTGCGGGGAGGCTTACCACTCTCTCGGTTATGGATGATAATGGGCTTAGTCGAGGACGGGTGCTTAATGAAGTTGATCATGCCAAGAGATAACCATTCATTTCCGTATACTCAGGCATCGTGTGGTAGGCACATGTTGACATGAGAATTTGGCGTTCATGAACATCTAGGACTAATTGTCGGCAGAACAGTGAACCTTCTATGCTATCGGATGAGCATCTTCTTCGACATGATCCAGGCCCTGTGGTTCCCCTACGGATTACTATTCTTGTTCCCCCTCTATCGCATGCCCTCCTCGTGATCCCCCAGTGGCGAGCATTTATAGGACAGTCTAGCTGATGCTCCTACACAGTCGGGAAGCAAGGAAGGACGGTGACTGCAATCCGGTTTCAAATCTGACTCTCACGTACTTACCATCGATCTCAGTTTGTGATCGTTTACGATCATACCCGGACCGCCGACTACATGATCGTTGCTTCGAGAGCGGTGACCTTTGAAAGTCACTCTTCCCTGCGATGTCTGCGGGGCATTCTTTCCAGAGACAGCTGGGTAGTCGCTGAATTTTCGTGGTATAAAATCTCCTATAATTAGTTATTCCTATTTGAAATATTTACTTGATGAAACATTCACACGCGCAAACCCAAAACAACCATCGTCCGAACCATCATGATGACTTCCAGCGCTACTGTGACGTCCAAGATGCGTGCCATTTTAATCAAAGACGGGTACGGTCCCATCGAGAACCTCTACATTGGGGGGACAGATAAGCCAGTTCCAACGAAGGGACAGGTTTTGGTAAAGGTCCGTGCCTTTCTAAGGTTCATCTTTTGGATCTACGAAATTGATCTAGTCCGGTGTGGAATATCCGTGATAGATTGTCGCATTCGGCGTTAATCGCATGGACCATTATCAGCGTCAAGGTGGCTACCCGACTCCCCCTGGCGCTTCCTCCATTCTCGGTGTGGAGTTCTCTGGACGTGTGACTGAACTCGGGGAAGGAGTTACAAGATGGGCCGTTGGGGATGAAGTATTTGGTCTTGTGGGCGGCGTTAGTCGATTGCCCAAGTCAAAGTGTAGAACATACACTGACTAAAAATGTCACGGCTATCTCAGGGAGCTTATGCGGAGTTCGTAAACTGTGATGAAGGACTCTTGTTGAAGAAGCCCGGTCACTTATCTTGGGTGGAGGCAGCCAGCATACCAGAAAACTATATTACAGGTCAGTGCAGCAGATCAGCCAAGTAAGCGATCTTCGGTTCTGACTCCTTTGGGATCATTCTTAGCTTATCAAGCTCTTGTAAAGTACGGGGAAGTCAAGAAGGGCGATCATGTACTTGTCCACGCAGGCGCTTCTGGTGTAGGCATTGCGGCTATTCAAATAGCAAGGGAATATGGAGCGTTAGTGTTCCGCACCGGTGTTCAGTATCCCGGTCCTCGTTACTTCGAGGCTGTTCTGCACGTTCTTGCTGACCACGTATCACGCCGTTGACAGGGCAACTGTCACTGCAACGGCGTCTACCACAGAAAAACTCGATTGGCTGCGCTCGATCCCTAACGGGGCGACACATACTGTCAATTACAAAACTGAAGACTTTGCCGCGGAGGTCAAGAAAACGACTAACGGCAAGGGTGTCAATGTCGTCATAGATTTCGTTGGACAAAGTCATTGGAACAAGAATGTAGAATCCCTCGCTATTGACGGGAGGATGACGATATTGGCTACTTTGAGTGGTAGGCATTTGTTATGTTTTGACTTGGAAGCTGTGACTAAATGGTCGGTTAGGGAGCGAAGTCTCTAATGTTAACCTTGGCCCGATCCTTTACAAACGTCTCCGCATTCAAGGTTCCACGTTGCGTTCCCGTAGTACAGAGTATCAGACCGAGCTCATCGCAAGGTACTGTCATGATGTGATTCCGTTTCAGGCTACTTATCTTATTAGCTTAAGTTTCCGTGATATAGTCGATAAGGTAACTGGTGCCAACGGAGGTGGCCCGATACGGACCTACATCCACAAAGTGAGTATGATCTTCTTCTCTTCTGGTGCCGTCGGACACGGACGTACGATTCCGCAGGTGTATCCTTGGACAGAGATCCAAAGTGCTCATCATGAGATGTACGACAATAAGAATAGGTGAGCACTCTGTCTCCGTCAGAAGATCTAGCGGTGGCCGAGACTTTGTTCCAGCGGGAAGATCATCGTCGAAGTTCAATAGAAAGTGTACTATCCGATACCGGTGTTCGTCGTGTTCTAAGAATCTTACAATTGTTGGTTTGATTTGAGAGCTTGTATTTATGGATAGTGACATCAAACTGTAAAATTGGAGGTGTTCGCTTACTACAAACAATGATTGAGCCCCAAATCCAGCCGATCATAGGAATAGTCAATTTTCAAGGGTCAAATCTAGTGTGTGTAGCAATGTTCGCTGCCTCTTCATTGCCATTGGACATGAATTCCTCGGGACCTCGGTATCGAGTTGTGTTACGCTGCCAAGGTTTGAGGGAGATTCAAAGAAGGGTATATTCAGTGGGACTTCATGACTCACTGTATGATACTACACTGATTTAGCCAAACAATTATTTTCATATCTAGGAAGTGCCTTGGGAGCGTACGTCAGTCACTATCACACTGGATTTGACCAAGGACGTTCGGATCCAAACAACGTCGGCAATCATAAGTGTACCACAGCCTATGCCACGTGCCGAGTGCTGCGGGGAAAATTCATAGAACGTGAATGACAAGTGAAGGGGGGATTCTAAACGACGTTCTGTACAGCATCGGAGGTAAGAAGCGCGTGAGAGCAAGGGGGCGGGAGATGCCGAACTACGTACACAGCGGATCTCAGCCTCTTGGTAAAAATGCTACCCTTAGATCTGAGCGCCAATATTAATAAGCTCCACGAGCATGGCTGATCAGTGCCTTCACAAGTCATGGCGTATCCGTGAGAGTACCCCCTTCCTTTATTCTCGATCGGGCTTGTCACGGTGTCGGTCCCGGTAATCCAGATCTCTCAATTCAATACAGCAAAAGGCGATGAGCCTCCTACCTATAAAGACCCTTCAATGTCACTCACTACCACCAGAACTCTCTCCTTCGAGTAACGCGTCATGAGCACCCAATACAACTCCAACAACACTTCACAAGCTGCTTATGCTTCATCCAAGTCGTACTCGAGCAATCCAAGCTCGCAATCACCTTCGAGTCATCCAGACTCGCGTGGTCAATCGCACCCGCAGTCGTCACAATACTCGTCGCAGCGCACTACCATCCGTGCTGGTGCTAGCACAGTCGTACCAGTGTTCTTCTGAGGACACGCCACATCATTAGCTCTCTATGAGCACGTTCCCATTTTTCTCGACAACCCCCATAATCATACACCACCATCATCATCATCATAATTTGATCACCACACCACGACCTCTCAGACTCCCCACCGCATGCGCTGGGATGTATTGCCGCATAATCACAATTTAATATGTGCAAAAGAAGATTTGCAGGGAAGGAACAGGAGGGAGGGAAGATCATTCAAATTTCATGCTGGGTCAGGACCGTACTTTGATTCACCAGAGATCTTACCATGTATTTGGCATTTGGCTTGCTATTCGATTACAGTAGTACTAGTAATTAGTAATTGCTGCAGTTAATTTGATTGTACTCAGCGGGACATTGCACTTGCGGTGGCGGCTGATGCTGAACCTTGGCGCTAGCGCTAAGCTTGCACGAATATAGTATCATCAAAGACGAGGATGCTCAGCCTTGGCCGGGGAACGCTCTCCCAGCACGTCGAGTGGCGGCCGATCAAGATCGTATGTTTCGTTATATTGGAAAATCCATGTTTGTGGAGGGCGGCCTTTAAGAGTGATTGCCGATCAGCAACCTGTGCTTTGTCAGGCAAGTTTGGCTAAAGTGTTGTACTGCGCATCGTGGTGCAACCATCATCCTGGATGATCAATGATGGCAGATGGGCCTACAACTTTCTATTGTTATTCACCGGTGGGCGAAACAACACAGCTAACAATGTGAACTGGATCATTACGGATCAACTAACGAGTAAGAACGTGACGATCCGGGCAACTCGGTCACTGAATACAATAACGTGTATTCAATTAGTAGGCGCAAGGGCCACACGCTTGCAGTCACAGTTTGCCGCGTACGCCTGTCATAAATATGCCTGTTTTCAAGCGTCTTTGGTTAAGGGCATCCCACCACTCCAGGATGCAGTCTACAACCTCGTCTTGGCGCTAAGTATATCGTTAGCAGTAGCTACGACCATAAAAATCAATATTCACATTTGTAAAATTATGATCTGCCTCGTCTATTAAATGAAGGTTGTGAGTGCCAGGCGTTCTGGCACCGAGTGCTCGAGAGTAAAGAACCGCGTCATATCTGATGCAATGAGTTATTTTCCCTTGTCATCAATTAGTAAACACTCACGCAGGAACTGTCTTATCATGGAGACCATGCATCGTCAGAACATCGACTTGAGCAGGAAATTTGTCCCAAACGATTGCAGTATTCCACTGAGAGAACGTCACTAGATCTTCTGGATAAACCCTTTCCACGACCGTTTGTCGAGCGACTGTTAAAGTTCGCTCGTAGTAACCTTTGGCATCCCACTGCCCTTTATAAATCTCTAGAAATTAGGTTCAGGTGACCAACCGTCTGTACTTCAAAACCCTTGAGCGTACTGTGAATTCGCTAATCATTGTTTCAGTCACTTTGGAGTATGCATGAGCTTATTTCTCACATCCATTCGGTAACGGCCTGACACATTGACCATGGCACGAGCACGTTGTCCTTCCTCAGAAGTGCACATCCAATAAATCCCAACCACAGAACCACGAGAATGCCCCACTACCACATCAATCTCGTACCCATACGTACTGCGGAGGTAAGAAACCACCACCACGAGGTCCTCGACGTCTCTCCCAATTCCACTTTGTGTCCGTTTGCCCCCACTTTCGTGATTGCCGCTGCTCTATATAAATGAGGGTTGACGCCAAGACGAGCGGTAGACGGACCGAAAATCAAATCTGAACGAATCCATCGGGAAACGTTGTGCGAGACGTTTCTGGAATAAGTAGTCTTTATGACTGGAGCGAGATTAGAAGACAGAATATGCAGGAGTTGGAGGAACGCACCCCAAGGACCCATGAAGAATCTGAAACATACGGTGTATCAAGTGATTTTGTAAAGGATCGGAATGATAGTCGGCATCATACCATGGCAATCTTTCTGCCCTGCGTGGGCTCTTCGGGTACTAGTTGTTCCAGGATCCCGACCAGCTCGCAATCATCTTGGGAATGCGGTATACGCAGTTTTGTAGACTTCCTAGTGGCCATTATAGGTGTGAAGGATAAAGCAAGATACACAGCGGATAGTGCACTAACCGGTTCCGATCAGAAAACGGCATTGACTGAAAAGGAAGGTAGTTGTGACGGAACAGAATAATTGGCCGAACTAAAATTACATTTGGGGGTAAAAGATCAACTACCCTACTAGTAGATTTACGTGGGCTTAAATACTGAAGGGCAAAACAAGGGAGCAAATTAAATGAGAGGAAATTGGCTGCCAAGCGACGTTGGCTTTTTGACGAGCGTTACAGTAGTGTTCACCCGATAGCACTCGTAAGTACATAGCTGAGTAACAAATGGGTGACGCTAGGGAAATACAAACGATGGCATTTCGACAGCATCCCCAGAGCAAAGGAATACGGATTCAGAGGTGTCTGAACAAGCTCGCAAACCATCAATGGTGCAACACCAGCGATACATATCTGCTCAATGACATACTACCCAGAAACAGGTAATCACGGTCGACCTGGCTTTTTGCCAATAAGGGCTCCCTTCGCACTCTTTGCTGGACCACCTTTTACAATCTTCACTTTCTTCTTCTCCGCTGCTTCAGTGCTCCGTTTTTGTTTCACCTCCTTCGGTGTAACCGACTTCGTAACAATCTCGTTCAGGGGTTTCTTCGTGCCCTTGCTCTTACCCTTGCTGACTGGCACTTCCGGCACATCTTCCTCCGAATCCATATCTATGTCGTTGGAATCAGAGTCTTCATCTGACTTACTCTCCTCAGGTGCGTCCTTGGATTGGATCATACCATCCCACCGTCCACCAGTAGCACTCCCGAGTTCGCATGTCCATATCGGTAGACTGATACTTGAATTCGTCTTGATGTGAAGACTTTGAATGTTATCCCAGTTACCCTTTATATTGTTCACGATGGCGGGGAGAGATATTTTCATGTTGTCGAGGATTTTTTCTGGCGTGTGTGATAGCAGACCGATCTTAACAGACCTAACAACCATCGCTGCATTAGACTCGCATTCAGGAGGCAGATAAAAACAGACGCACGTGCACGTCCCTCTGTTCTGATGCATGTAGCTCGACTCGATGGCTCGTTCTAATTCACCCTTGAGGTCTTTACGCGTCAAGCAGACCGGGATTGGCTGTCTGCAAGATAAATTCGGATATGCTCGCGATAGAGGTAGTCTCGAGCAATCTTACTTTTTTGCATCAAACCACTTCTTTCCCAACAAGGTCGGCAGTAAAGGAATGACGCGCTCGTCTGCTAGGAACATCCCATTCTCTTTCAGCAGCATTCGCCTGGCTTCGTAGGACTTGAATTTGCCCTTGAGTTTTGTTATCCCGACGACCCTTGATATGAATTTGATTTTATGAGACTCGAGAAGGTCTTTGTACTCTCGCTGAGGATCTTTGGTGATGAGACAGACGGACGTAACTCGTGGATCGATGAGAGCATGCTTGAGTGGGCTTGGGAATGTCACAATTGTACATCCGTTGAAGAGCAGTAAAACGTACATTTTGAATGGTTTGATCTTGTGTTCGGGGTGCATCCGCTTCACTGTGATTTGTAGCCATACATGTTGCTCGTTGGATGGTAAAAGTTCGGTTTCCTCCTGGTCTTTTTGTTTTTTTAGGGCATATGCGTGCAGTGCGTGTACGGCTCGCGTGCACTGTTTCACGGAAACATGGGAGTCGATTAATTCTGTTTTCGCCATGGTATGCGCCCTCTTCAAAAGTCAAAACCTAATAGTTTTCGTTCCGCTATTCATGGCTTAGTCAGCACGGATATCTTCTTGGCACCAAGTCTTGTTCATCTCTTTCTTGTAAGGAATAGTTTCATACACCAAGCGAGTATCTACTGCTTTGCAAACTTCACTGCTTTCTGACATGCATCCTTCAGAGCATCGGCGAGAACTTCGAAGTCTGAAATCTGAATTTTTTTGGTAAGAATTAAAAAAGATATTGATTCGAACTCTCACCTCGTTCCATATCTGCACGCTACACCTTGTCCACCATTTTCCATTGTGGTAATATTGAACAGCACACACGTTCCAATCAAGTAACAACGTAGTCATCAGCAATTTGTGAATTTCACTCGAAAATTTAATGTCGCCAGGAATCGGCAGTTCCACGTTGACCTGACCAAGCAACATGAAGTGAAAAAAAGAAACAAAAAACTGCATTAACGCACCATGTTCAGAGTCAAGTCACCATCGGGATCCATAACGTTGGTTCCTAGGAGACTTGCCAGATACTTTCCACCTGCGATTGCGAGATTGTGGGTATATGCGTTGATCTTGTTCTCGCCGCCGAGCCACTGTCTGAAATCCAAGGCTAGTCGCAAGTAAAAATAATGGTTCTGATAACAAAATCGCACTAACCTGCACTCACGCTCAGGAATGGAACATAATCTATGGTCCCCGTCCCTAGCAATTGATAAGACATGAGTACTCAAATTATAGTTTCTCGGAGAGAACTCACATTCAAAAAGATTTTCAAAACTTTGTGAACCATTATAAAACTCGTCTTGAGGTGAGCAATAATTGCGTGGAGTAGGTATAGGAGCTTTGATGACATGTTGGTTTCTAGTTCATTGTATATCAATTGATATAATACTTCTGGAAGGTTAGAACATACCGTTTTGGCACATAAAGGACTGCACAACTTCTCTTTGCAAAGAGCCATTTGTGACAAGTCTGTTCAGCTCAGCTAATCAAGAACACAATACCACAAGTCAGAATTGATGGACTAACCGAGATCCAAAAGTCAGGTTTCGCCTCTGACAAGTTGATATCTAATTCCTGGCCAATTGAATGCGCGGCATCTACCACTGACCAAACACCTGCATCCCTGCAAATGGCCACCATTTCTTTCCAAGGAAGACGCACACCGGGGTTGGCCACGATGGCGTCTATTATGGCGACAACCTTGCGAGTCTGTTGGAGGTCGCTCTTTTCCGAAGTCACTCGGCGAATATGTTCTCGCCAGTTTTTCAGTATATTTGCGTGTGTGGTAGGGAACTGAAGATTGAATGTGGATACTTCTGGGTATGGTGGGATATCTCCTAGATATCTAATCGCTCGGGACACGGCATTATAAGTTGTGGTCGCTGTTTTATGGGGAAACAAAATAACATTAAGTGGGGGAACCTTCCGTATAGTGGTTCTTGACTTACTCCCAATGATGATATCCCCTTCATGCCACTCAAAGTTGCGGAGTACCGTGTTTATGCCATGTAATGTATTATTCACCAAAACGCACTCGTCGGTATCTGCCCCAATGAGCTTGGCCACTCGAGTACGAGCCTCGATCCAGTGGTGAATGCGCTCGATGCGCAAGAATTTGTCTGGGTTAGCTTCGATGTGGGCGCTGAGTTTATCGCATGCGACTCTGACTGGCATGGGTAATGAACCATACGAACCTTCGATGCAGTGGCCTTGAATCAATGTACAATATTGATATCGTTTGGTAGAACTTACCATGGTTAAAGTTCACGTAAGATGGGTCAAACTCGAATAGCTTATGCATAGCGTGCCCAAATGCAGGCGGAGCCTGTTTATCGAGCTCTACATTGGATATTAATGTGCTAGGAGCTGACTCGGAGGACACTGAGGTTGTCATGTCAGTCATGGTATAGATAAGGCGCAGGGCAGTATGCAGCCACAGTCCGATTCCAGGAGATATGCCGTGGGAGCGTGAGGTTCGAACGGTGATCAGTTGACCACACATCGGGGGTTTCAACATTTTACCTCTTGCAAGATTTCCATCAAAAACAGATCTGGACCTGGCTAGAGCATTCCAGACCTAGCCTAGAGCGTTCCAGTGCACTTTTCGGATGTAATTTCACTGGCAGCAAAAGGTGGTAAAATGTCAGTTTCCCAGCTGTGCCACTGTCAACCAGACTGGTGCACCCACCAGAGCTATATCACCACAAGCCAATGGCCCAACCACGAGCCAAGTAACTCTTGGCAGGCCATTCAGTACTTAACATCGGGGATCACGTGCTCGTGCTAAGAACGCGAATGAATAACGGCATACAGATTGATGCGGCAGAAACAAACAGAACAATGCAGACTCGGAAGCGTGCCTAACTGTGCAGCATTCATATACAACGCGAAGACCAAATAACAGGCAAACCAGTGGCAGTAGTATGGAAAACAACACGAGTACAGGTGACATGATGCCTAAGCGGTTGGGACCAACTTGAAGTTAGGACAACGAGGGGATGAAAGCGACAATAACGAGGTAAACGGAGAAGCGATTGCCAGGCAAGCCGTAGAAGAGTTAAATTCTGTGAGCGTTTGCCTTGACATGAGCACAACGCTAAACACGACAGGAAACAAAACCTTACAACATTGATAAGCTTCGAGCAAGAGGCATATTAGGATTCCTTTTCTTGGTCCGTTTGGCGGCTGTTCTTCTATAGAACGCAACGACCTCGGCAAGAGTCTTGTGTTCAACCTGCCATTTCAAAAATACAAAGGCTGCGCGCTATTGTCGAATCTGACTGAGCTCAAAGGGGTTGTTGAGGCTCCGTTGGTCCTCCTTTCTTCTTGCCAGGTCACATAGGTGGGGAATCCTGTAAAATCAGTGAGCACTGCCATGCCCTGTGCTGGATTGCTAGTAGCGGCGTCGGTGTTCATAGCAGGTAGCAGGTGCCCTCCCACCGCCGGAACGATGTGCTGCTGGGTGCTGGCTTGCATCTCATAGTAACACCTAAATTTCAAGCGAGTTAAGGATGAAACCCGCATAATATTCATGTAAACCGCAGGCACAAGGCTGGCATGGCTTGTACCACTGACGTCAGGTCAAGTCAGGACTCAGAGCCCTTCCCTTGGTCAGACTAGCCATATGGATAAAGGCTTCGAGCAAAATGACAAGTAGAGGCTTGCACACCTTGTGCGCAGTGCGCATCTGCTTCCGAGTCAGTGTTTGCAACTGCCAGCAGCCACACAGTTCCTTTCGACCTGCTCCTTCTGTTTGAGGTATACGCTTGCAGCCCGTGCACAGGTCGTGCACACTAGTCCTCACCCCAACATTGGACATGTTGGAATCCGAACGATCTGAGATAGACAAATTGAGGCTCGGGAGGATGAACCAGTGGGAACGCAAGGGCGACGGGTAAGCAATGCTGTGACGTTGGTTCATGCTCATCTATAATAAAATCCTTATCGGTCAACTGAAGAAGTTATCATGCTGTGGTAGGCTGTTATTGAGCACAGTCGCCAGAAATGGATGAGACTGATTGTGGCCGAATTGGTATGGACCACGACCCAGTCTTGACTGACGCCATGTGGGCGGCGGCCGTTAATCAGGATACATGAGGGCGTCGCTGTATATAATCGAGCTTTGGAACCCATACATCATGGATGTGGCCTTGTGGCGTAGAGAACGAAGGGAAGAGTGAGCGAGAAGCTATGGGGAAGCGGATGGCGAACCATAGGAAGCATATGGACCTGGTCCTCGTTTCTTACGTGTATGCAGACATAATCCGGATGTGTAAATAGATCTGATCCCGCGGTCGGGTTAGCTACTTACATGATGTGCGACATCTGTTTATCTCCCGCATATCGATTCTGTCCCTACACTAATCTGGCCTGACTCTTTTCCCATTTCTGCAGTGGATGGAAGCCAACGAAAGGCAGATCAGCAAGCACGAAGCAAAAGAGGGTAGATGCTAAAATTTGGTACTTACGGTTGCAAACTACAAGTCAAATTCGAATTCTGAGTCCGAGTCGTCTTTCCCGTTTTGCGCCCGTATATTTTTGGGTGCTCGAGCATTGGTACTTGTGGCAGCAGACCGCATACGAGAAGACATATCATCATCCTCTTCCTCAGAGTCGTCGCCATCGGGCGCTCGTCGTTCGCCGAGTGGCCCGCGGGGAAGATCCAAAGCGCCACATAGAATCAGAAGTGCCTCGAGTTCTGCAATGATTCTCAAGGCTAACAAACAATGATATCATGAATGAGCTTGCCTTCAAGCTGTCTTTCACGATCAGCACCCCATGCAATCAGTTGATTCCGTATCTCCCCCTTGCGGTATACAATCAACATGGGAATTCGAGAATCTGGAAGGTCCGCAATGCATTTGTTGCCCACGATTGACACGAATTTTGAGTACGGATATCGACTTGCTAGAGTGTGTATATGCCCAGAAGTTCTATCGCTGTGAGGAATTCTAGAGGTTTACTCGAATGAATGCATGAGCTGCCAGAAACAGAGGAGAACTGACCCATCCTTGTACAAGAAACAGATCACGCCGGTGCCTTTCTCTTCTTCATCACCTTCTTCATCGATCTTACTAGCCTCAGTGACCTCCCTGGTATAATCATCGCGTCCGATTGGATAGACTCTCCCAAAGCGGGCGCGTTTCTGCTGCAGTCGTTCCTGAGCTAATCGCTGCCTCCGATATGAATTGATATGGCGGTCTAGATCGTCGTCAGTGATCTCTTCGCCCAATTCTTTGAGCTCCTCTGGAGTGAGATCATCGAGCACGTCTTGTAGCTTTGGAGAGCTCGGAGGTGAAGGGGTAGGGGGAGTAGTTTCTTTAGGAGGGATGATGCCATACTTGCGGAGGGCATCGTTGCTGGACACATATATAGGGAAGTGTAGAGGAAGGAGATGACATTTTGCTCACAATTCCGTATCTTCGTTGGGATTAACAGCCATGATGGAGAGACTTATACGCGAGTACTTGAGTTCCGCAGAAAGGTCGGGGTCGTCCGTCCGTCCGCGCCGGTCCCGTATTCGGAAAGTTCCGCTAATGCCCTGTCTGTTTGTCTTTTACTTATTTAAAGTTATTACGATGTTCCATTGCTCGTTCATCACAGGGAAAAAGACGAGCGGCAATCACTACTGTTAAGTAGTAGCCATGCTGATCTCCCAGACCTATTTGTTCAGCCATCCCGATCCAATATTGTGCTGCATTCCTAGCCAGCCTCCCCCCAAGCACTGCCTATTTGTGTAATTACACTGATCCATCGATGTTTATCTGACTTCCACATATGAGCCGTCCTGTTTACAACCATTGTCGTACGAGACATGTCAAACCGTTGTTCGCCAAGTTCTAAGCGAACTCATCTTCATCCTCGACAGTCATAGCGCGCCTGTTCTTATTAAGTGACCCCATTCGGTCTGCGACTTCTGATCATATCTCGTCGTTGCTGAAGCTTCCTATGGTCTGCCCTGTTCATTGTAAGAAACCTGTTGATCTGCCGTGCTTGTACTCATACGCGTCCCAGTCGCTCCCAGTCGCTCACACTTGCGACATCGCCACGAGCATTCTGGAGATGTTGATGATATCTAATATCCACGCTATCGGTGGCACTTGCCATGCTCTCTGAGTATTGGCTCGTGAAGTTGTCCACCGACGCTCCGTTGCCTCCTTGGACTCTTTGCAAGTCCATACTTCTCGACGTTTTGACGCATTGGCGGTGTGATAACCAGATCTTCTGCACGTGCTATGGTGTCAGGAAACGAGGATGATGTTGCTCGCAAACTGAATATCGTCTGGCCGCACACTTCATCTTAGGTGTTACACGTTGGGCTATCTGCCAATACACAATGTAATCCATCCAGCCATCGCGCCTGTCATCGGCCGATTTCAGAAATCAGCTAACCGATCGTGAATTTCCGCAGTTAAACAAACATCCCCTACGTCATGCTATTAAAACTTTGGACTTGGAGCTCGCAATGCAAAACAAGAATATCACTGATGATGTATATGTAAGTGAGTCAATCCGAAGTACTAGAGCACTAGAATAGTTTGAGAGTGAATACCAACCATGGATCCATAATACACAGGGTAAACGAGCGGCATGAGAAGAGGGACAGATGCATTCTGCGACAGGGCAATGGTATGAGTGGAGGAGAATAATGAAGCGGAAAGTGAACGAGAGGTATGACATTCCAGTTGTCTTGAGTGGTAAGGTATGCGGTAAAAGAGGAACCCCGATATGCAAAGAAATCTGAACGACACGGCTAAGAGAGGAATGAAGATGACATATACAAATGTGGATGAGAAAGGGAAAGTGAAAAGTGAAAACATGGGGCAATGAGGAGAACGAACAAATGATTCGAAGTCGTCGCAATCACATAACAACGCACTTGCAGCACCCAGCGCCTGTGTCTTCATCGTCGTGAGGTACTTGCTTTGGTGGCTCCAGGTCAGTGGATGGCCGCGTAACGTTGATGGTCGGAATGTCTGTACGTCGGTAGTGCGAGAATGGTGCCGGAGAGTCAGGAGGACGTGGGGTCGTTTTCCGACGGGCTGGACGGATGGGTCTCTCTGGTTCTTCGGTGAGGGGTGCCAGTGTTGGAGGTGGGCTATCAGGCATCGGTGCTGTTGTCTCCTGATTCGTGTTTGGTAGGTTGCCGAATTCATCCATTGGTATCTCCTCTCCCCGAGGCGCGCGATACTTGGAGTAATCGTAGCCAAAAGTGCCAGGCGCCTGATACAGACATAATCAATTGGTCGGATACGAAAATTGGAGATGCACTTACTGGAGCAACAGGATTGGGAGGTTTTGGACGAGGGCTGCCATCTGCTTGCTCGTACTGACCATCAAGACCTTTCTTGCGCGCTACAACCGGTAATACTACCTGAAAATCGATCAGCGAAATAATTAATATAACTATTCTTATCTTATCACCTCGTCCCAGGTACCCGACTTCTGAACTGGTTGGGTCCACGTGGGTATGGCGTCAACCATACCATCTCCTTCGGGAGTTGGGTACGAAGCAACCGAACCGCGATTGTCATCCTTCCGTTGTGCAGCTAAAGATGGTGTCTTCGCTTTCGTCTTGGACCTCTTCGGTGTTGAAGGCGACACCGGTCTATTCGTGCGACGTTTGTTACTCGGCGGACGATCAGGCGATTGACTCTGTGATGGTGAAAATGACCGCCGGCGGGGACTTGTGATGGAGTCAGGAGGAGATGGAATCAGGGTTTCGGAACTGCGTGTCGTTTCAATGGATGTATTGGCTCTAAGAGGTTCCGAGGCTGTACGTGCAACGGGTATCCGAGTAGGTGGAATCTCGGTATTAAGAGTGGGGTGAGCTTCGCTACGGGCATTCTCCGTAGAGAACGTGACTAGACCAGGCGTAGACACACTGAATGGAGGATGAATGGTGACGTCTTCTGTACCGTCGTGCGCGTTATAGAAATCCTCCTGGTCAGTGTCATGATCACCATCGATATCCGTCGGTGGGCTCTCGTCCAGTACCATATCCGCCTCCTTTGCTCTCTCTTCATCCAAATACAAACTCTGTCTTTCACGTAGGCCAGAAGCACTATCAGCTCTCTTCCGTCTACGGCTGTACTCCAAAGCGGCAGAGAAGTCACGATGTGCAAGATGGTGCGTGCTGGACTTTGTGTCGTGTCCGAAGTTGGCAATACGCAACATCTCCATGCGTTTACCTACACGCAATTCCCCGACGCCACCGTTTCTATGCACGTCTCCTCTGTACCAATGTTCAAATGGGCGCTCTTCTGATTCATTAGAAGGCCGCGGAGGCGCAAAGGCAGCATCATGGTGAGACTTTTTGGATAGAATAGAGGAGCTGATAGAACTCGCCCCAAATGGAGCAGGCTCATTCATGATATTTGATCTCTGATGCCGAATAGTGGCATTTGACAAAGTGGGATCAGTCTCGCCGATAATCCAGAGATCAGGAGACGTATCAGGAGTAGGTGTCTGGTGGGAAAGGACGTCATTGCGGCTTTCTGTACGAGTAGCGATACTTTGGTCATGACTGGAAATACTTGTGGTTCTCCCCCGCGCGGCCATCGGTATTCGGGTGGGTTTCACGTCAGAGGTACGGGGGGAAGTAGGACGAGAAGAATCTGGGGTGGGTAGAGCGTGTCCGTTCGCGTAGCCGTTAAGTTGAGAAGAAGGATCGTACAAGTATGGTTGAGAAACTGTGCGGGCGCGTGTAGATGGAGGATTGTGTGAGGAAGTGCCGTTGGCACGGGATGCTTCTGAGGGACTTCTTGATTGTTGCAAGCTTGGTCTGGGTATAGCACTAAATTTCTTGTATTCTGGAGAATGAAGTGAACTTGGAGCCTGATCTCGCAGAGTATGGCCAGAAATTGAAGGAGCGTTCGACCTTGGTGCGTCGTCCGTAGAAGAAAAAGATGCCACTGATAGGCGTTTAGCAAGGATACGACTTTCGCTTTCTAGTCCTGAAAAAAAATTGGAAGAGAAGACGGGACCGTCAGAATCTGACGCCTGAAGCTTCTGGACAGGAACGTTATGGTACTATACGTACTTTTACGAAGAGTTGGCACAATTGTATCGTCCCATAATGTTGGGAGAGCTGGATGTGCTGTTTCAGTCAAAGCCATTAAGTGAACAATTAAATGAAAAAAAAATATAAAGTCAACCGTCGACGTCGTCAACAACGTTGACACTGCGAATGAATTAGCACTGGTGGTGAGGCTGAACGTTAACCCGAGGAAGAAGTATAAAAATAATTCATAAAATAAATATTCCCATACTTGGTCCGCCGCTTTGCTTCTGGAATCCTCACTTCGACTCTCGCGTCCCTCAGTTCGTTTTCCGGGTTTCTAACATCTAACCTACTCTCACAAACATAATTTTTAGATGAGCGCAGCAGCAGTTCGCGTCTCTCACAGTGCGCAGGCAGTCCGTCCTTTCAGGAAGCCTCCCAAAATTCGCAAATTCCTCAAGTACGACGAGAATGGTCTACCAGTGCCGCACGTCAGGAATCTCATCGTGCGCGACATCCACCCATGCCGTCTCATGGATCACTACCACACGACTCTTCAAGACAACTTGATGTACATGACTTACAATCACGAGTCTGGCACACCACCATCACCACGTCAAATCCGTCTCACTTACGACCCAAATGATCCATACACTAAAAACCGTTATAACCCTCCTGTCGGTGGCTCCCAGGCAGGCAAAAAGCCGGCACCTCCGACCACTTCTGAGAATGTCGTCCGTTTGGAAAAAATAGTCATTCATTCCATGCTCAAGGAAGCACTTGCCAACCGGAGTAATTTACTTGGTCTCATCGCCGCGTTTCGTGCAATGTCGGGGGAAACTGAGGGCGGCGGAGGTCGTCCTTCGAGCAGCGGAGTGCAGATCGTGAAGGGGAAGAAGAATGTTGGTGGATGGATGCGCCCTGGTGTTCCTGTTGGTGCAAAGGTCGAGTTGAAGGGACCCAAGATGTACGACTTTTTGAGTACCCTGGTGGAGTTTGTGCTTCCAAGGATTCGAGAGTTCCCAGGCATAGTCATGCCTCCCGCATCGTCAACAATGAAATCTCCGAGCGGTGTGGCTGGTGTCGTTTCATTTGGCTTGCCGCCAGAGGCTATGGGCTACTTCCCTCAAATTGAGGTCAACTTAGACTCGTACCCGAAGTCTTATGGTATGCACATACACTTTGTGACCAATGCAGTGGGCCTCGGTGCCCAAAATCGTGCAAGGGCATTGGTCTCGGGTTTCCAGATACCCTTTGCTCGCAAGTAGATTACTTGTATGTCCATTACCTTACCTCGACTTTTAATTCGCTCACAATTCACATTCAGATTACATTGTTAATCAAGGTATTTGTTCTCTGCATGCCATCATTAGTGAGGGATATATGGTATGTGTGAATGAGAGTACTGTGTCTGATGACGATGCAAGGCTAACGATAAAGAGCGGACAATAAATTAATAAAAAGCACTCTGCCTGACCAAATGATAAATAGTTCATCTTTGTCCCCCATGAGATTGCCAAGGTATATCACCAAGTCTATGCCTGGATGATGAGTGCGTCCTCTCTATTCCCGTCCTTGGTGTTGGAGGGGGACCCATACTGAGACCCAGCATGGAAGAGTTTGGTCCCATCATTGCAGACGTTTCCGATGCTGTCCGCCTGGCTTTCTTGGACGCTATCAAATTGCTTTTCGGAGTATCATGCCCTTTGAGCAGAGACCTGTTGCCCGCCGGTTTAAGTGCAGGGGCTAGTGCCGGTAGAATCTCTCTCGCCAGCTCGCGCACCAAGACAGCGCCATCGTCCTTGCTAAGCTTCATGACCATTTCATGCAATCCGTAGCGTTCCACTAACATTGCACGGTTTGGGTGCACGTCGCAAACGGTCCGAAGGATACGTAAGAGGTTGAGACGAACCACCGCACGGCTGTGATTGAGCCTGTCAATGATGCGCTTGAAGAATTGAGATTTGGCAAGGCCAATGATTAGTGGGGTAGAGATGCGACAGATTTTGAGAAGGGGGTCAAGGAGGTTCTCAAAAGAGTTGGCTTTTGCGGTTACGAAACATTTGAGTAACGCCTCAAGAGACTCGGAGCTGATCAGCTCATCTTCGATCTTGGCCGTTTCATCTTGTAACCTGATTTCACGTTAGTCGTAAGTACAATGCACAATTCAAAATTCTCCCTACCATGACAGAATCGCCTCCAAGGCACTGACTTGGAAGTATGGGTCCTCTAGAAGCTTCAAATAAAGCGCGAGACCATTATGTTGCCAAAGGAGATATCTGCAGCTTTTCCCCGCGCTAGCCAAGTCACATAGAATAGGCAATGCGAACTGTTTGAGAGGTGAGCTAGTCTCAATTACTCGCTTCAAGCACGGAATAATGCCGGCTTGAGCCGCCTCCTCTTGTCGTGACTTGTTCAGCCGGCAGAGGTTATAGCAGGTCTGGAAGATGTGATTTGACACCTCCTGAAGTATCATTTGATCTGAGTGTTGCCCAACTCGTGATCTCATATGACTTACCGTGCTGTGAGGACCGGTCTTCTCTTCGTCCAGCAGTTTGATGAGTATTTCGATTGCGTTGGCGTTTTGAAGCACCTCGAGCAGATTAGCATTCATAGACAAGTGCTTCACAGCCTTCAGCATCTGGACTAGGCATTCCATCTCCAGAAGCTCGCATGCGCGTAATAGACCTGCCATCATAATTGCGGTCAGGTGCATCAAATTTGATGATTGACACGAAAATCTCACGTCTGACGATCTTCCGCGTCCCCATGGCGTTACGTACGTGGATATCACTTTGTGTCACTTGCGAGAATACGAGAAGGATCTGTATAATCTTGTGCTTCATCTCGACTGCATTGGGACTGGAATTGCCCATGACATTGAGCAAAGCGGAGGACAGGGGATCGAGGAGGCCTTCGCGGATAAACATACGACAAAAGTCATTCTTAGTCGTTGGAGTTTGCAATTCGAACACGCTTCCTATGCCGTTGAGAGCGTCGGCGACAAGCTCAGTCTGGTCAGTGTAGTCCTCGTCCAACAGATCAACAAGAACTTTCAGGCCACGACATCTGTTTGGTGACGTGAACAGGGTGCATAAAGAGATGTCGGGCAAGCACGCACGAGATGAACATCTGCAACGTCAATACAGATGTGTGGCAGAGCAGCCTGATGAAGTTGGACGCCTCCACGCGACACTCAGAAGGGTATTTCTTTGAAGTAAAACCTGCAGTGTGTCAATCCTTCACCATCAACCTTTCTGGGGCTACGACACATACCCATCATAACAGGAATCCCACCGATGAGGCAGAAGCTTTCTAAGAATCCAAGATCGCTCGTGACCAACTAACCAACGACGTTAAGTTCATGAATGGAAATTAGAACGCAGACTTACCAAGTTGGTGATGTGAAGAAGCTTCATGAGGACATCCCTGGAACACTTGCCTTCCAGTACCTCCAAAATTGCCAGCATACCATGCGAAGACACTAACTGCAGGAGCATATCTGGGTTTTCTGTCATGATATTGATCTAGAAATGCAGCAATGCATCAGACTATGAAACCGACAAAGTTAATTGAACTGACTAGTTGATCACAAGCATCACGCAGTTGGAAGTCAGGTGCCGAGGGTGTCAGTTCATCGATGAGTTGGTTCACCATGTTGCACAACCGAGCATTCTTGTCACGTAGGAGATTAGTCTCAAGATCATCTTCAGCAAAGCCCTCATCGATCTGAAGAATTGAGTCAGCCAGTATCATGGATGACACATAAAAACTTGCCTCTGCGAAAGGATCGTCTTCGTCCGAATCGTCTCCGAGCTGCAGTGAAATCAATCGTCGCAAAATGTCCGAAACAAAACATAGGTCTTACCCATGACTTATTCGACAACCTCGTGTTAAGTTGCAAAGTTTGCATCGGCTGCTCGAGAGCTACAAAACCAGAGTTCGAAATTATTCACACATTGGCCTAACACTACTTACTAGTTCCGCCAGGTTTTCCAAAGATATCGTCGTAGTCCTCGTCGTCGTCCTCAGTATACTTGCCAAATTCAGCATGACTAGCCGCACGTTTCGCCTCTGCGCGACCAAAAGAGCCGGAAGCACTCGAACTAGATCCAACAAAGGAAGATGAACGCGAATGTGATCGTATCGAACCTGTAGATGGTAGACCCATGCCAGAAATAGGACTGAGAGATGGGCGGGATGCTTTCCGCGACAAACTAGGAAGAGGTGCAGACATAGGACCGGGAGAACCAGAAAGGAGTCCGAGGACTTTGATATCGTCAGGATGAAAGAGTCCCCTGCGTACCGAATTCTTCATCTTCGCATTGCGATAGTTCTCAGCCAGCAATAAGGGGAAAAAAGCAATGCCCTGACCTTAAAATCTGCCACTTTCTCTTGAAGCAGGAGCTCGTCCTCCTCGGTTGCGATATCGGAATAGTCTTCGACGATGGGTACAATATCGGCAGACGGTGCCCTTGCGAGTGGTATTGTCCCGGAGCCAGCTGGGCTACGATTTGGTCTAATGGTCTGTGCATTATCATCGCCCTCCGGTTTCTCATCTTCCATGGATGTCTTCTCTAAGGCGGAGGCTACACAGCAACACAAAGTAAGATCGCGACTCTCGTTTAATCTCGCACATACCATGTAACTTGGTAAATGAAGGTCCATCCTCAAAGTCGTCATCCCAGTTGTCCGTCTGCTCTTCTGGAGGCTGAAGGACAAAAGCTAGCGGCTCCCGAATTTTCTCGACTAGAGCAACGGGGGCAGAAGGCTTTCCCGCAGCAATATTGGGTACTTTGAGAACAGAGTTCCCAGAGGTCGAAGCCTGGAGACCAAGAACTGAATGCTGAAGGAGCGACATCGCAGGCTTATCTCGACCACCACGAGTTGGGGATGGTGGTTGACCTTCAGAGACGGAGTTGCGACTATTTTTCTTTGTAGGTCGTGTAGGGGCTAAAGGGGGCATGAGTAGCAAATTGATCAAAATGATGATGAATCACATTTGAGAGCTTCATTCCATTCCTGTACCTTGAGAACAGCCTCATCGTAGTTATAATTGCTTGTGGGTCTCTTGCCGTCCGGGACTGATTGCGATCCGCCTTCTGGAGGACTCAGTCCCTTCCCGGCGACCATGTTCATCTGCTTCTTCGCAGATATCATCCAAGGATGACGGAGCAATTTCTTGGCCGAGATTCGGAGGTTGCAGTCCTTCTGAAAACAGTGAAGCAGAAAATCCTTGACGATCGGAGATGCACCATCTGGAATAGGAGGGCAATCGTCCTGAACGATCCGAAAGAGCGCGGGCATGGGGTCGAGGAAGTGATACGGAGGCTTGCCTTCAAGAAGTTCGATAACTACACAACCAACGCTCCTGCACAATATATCAGTATTGATATTGATTTGCAGGCAGCTCGACTAAGCTTACCAGATATCTGATGCAGTAGTTGCGCCAGATTGTTCAATGACTTCAGGTGCCACTGGCGTAGAAAGTTGTAAGTCATGGCGAGGACACATACCATGACAACTCACTCCAATAGGGACTGCCCACAACGGCATCATCATTAATCGCACCAGTTGTAGTAGAGCTAGCGACTCCAAAGTCAGCAAGCTTTACACATCCATCCTTGTTGGTCAATATATTCGCGCCCTTGATATCGCGATGGATGACACCTTGGTCGTGCAAGTATACGAGCCCGGCCAGGACTTGACAGATGTAGACTGCTACCAGGTTCTCTGGAAATTTACCGAATCGCTTGCAAATATTATGCAATGATCCGTTTTCGCAAAACCTGGCACGAGTATGTATGCTCAGTTACTTTCATCATTTGAGGTGGGATGAGGACGAACTCGAGAATAATGTATAAGTACTCCCTGGTCTTGACAAAGCCCTTGTACTTGACGATATTAGGGTGCTAGGTGAATGGATCGGGTGAACGATCAGCCTATAAGTTTTGTGAGCCACATACGTTCAAGTTTTTGAGCAAGTCGATTTCGGACTAGAATGAAGTCTTGAACAATGCGCCCGAAGCTCTTGAATGATGGATTCCAGAACCCACCATTATCTGCCCGAGCTCTCCCTTTGGTATGTTACTGAGTTGTATCTCCTTCACGGCCACCGTCTCACCAGTGGCCCAATTAAGTGCCCCTGCATGCATCAACGCTTGCATAAAGTTTATTCCCGCAGAAATCCTCGTTACTCACGGTAGACTTGACCAAACGCGCCCTTTCCAAGAGAGTCCCCGAGTTGCTGCAAACATATTCAGTACCAAGCCACGATGCGATGTGCGTCCGATGCAAACAAACATAATCATTGAGAAGCTTCGACGTGCTCGCGCGCTTTCCGGGACTGGTTGAAGTCGACGAAGGAGTTGCCATAGCCTTGGATGGGATATGGTCGGGATCAAGACGGGTATAGAAGGATGATCTGTGGTAGATGAGCCTGGTGTCCAAGACTAGAGGACTTGAGAAGGTATCTGAAGCGTTTAAACCAGGAAAATAAAAAGAGAGCTCGCAAATAATTCTAAGTTTGAGTGTCGCGTCCTGCGCTGACGAAGAAGAATGCTTGGAACCAAGGCCACTGAGCGGAACTCAGTCCGATTTGGAAGCCTTCGTCCACCTGTCACTTGTGACCAGTTCCATTTATATAATTTTAGTACAAGTACTACAATATTAATATGTATTTACTCAACCCCGTGAAGAATTAATACATACAGCTCTGTTATAACGGACTAAGTAGAGAATCAATAAGATATAAATCATACAATGCCTGCAGTATTTCGCTGGTCGGAATTCAAGGGTGAAGGCCAGTCGACATGTTCGCTAACTGGACTGTCACTGGGACTTATATCTGGAGTATTGGTAGCAGAATATATAGTGCTTAAGGGAGGTGGAGTAGCGGAGATTGATGGGTACTCTGCGAAGGCGATGGCTCGTACAGGGGGTACAATAGAACTTGCCGAACCAGATCGCGCACGGCTGTTCGACTCGACGCGCGCTGCGGAGGAAACAGAATGTGACCGTAATCGGCTGAGCGCAACAACTTCCCCCGAAGGTGAGTGTATGATATTATTGCGTGTGGACATAATGAAGCTTTCCTCTTGCGAGTGGTGGGGACTAGGTCCATGAAATACTTGCTTCTTGAGGTTCAGAGTAATCCTTGACATCATTGTAACCTGTTGACCGTGAAACAGTCCATACCGTTACGAGCTTCAAGCCGTGCTCACAGTGAGGCTGTAGCGAAATCATCTTAGTCAATCGCTATTATTGGTGGATTACTAAGAAACACTCACAGAAGCTCAAGCCTGTGCATAGTAAAATCAATGAAAATTCGAGTAAACACTATATTGGAGATATGCGTACTGTGCAGCGATGTTTTTTTACCCCATCGTGAGCTTTGATGATCATAATTGTCAATATCAGATTTATGGCGCAGATGACGCTGTATGCTTGGTGAGTTCTGGTGTCTGGAGAGCCTAGTTTGCACACCTGTAGTACAGTAATCCGTCTGCAAAAAGAGTACGGATAACATGCCCCGCTGATTTACAGTGAATCGACGGAAGCGTGCGGTTCAACGTCAACCCAAAGACATACGTGTCGTAGAGCAGAGGTAACCAAGCTGAAGCCGAAGCAATACTGCCGCTGACGAGGGTTTCAAAACTCATATCCATATTTGCCCGTGAAAACATACTTATTGAACACCATAGTGCAAGCTGTGAAATCATGAACATGAATAAGGTTGTCGTGTGCGAAGAATGAGTATCTCACAGTGAATGTCCTTTGAGTGATGGACGGCTGGGAACTATGTCATAAACTCATACGTTGCGTGGCGAAAATGCGACCATACGTTTACCATAACTCAATAGCCATGCAGTCACTATAATCCAAGCCAGCAGTAAGAATGCCGCGGGCACAATGGCAGCCCATTTGTATTTTTGGTGTTTATATATTGCAACGACGCTATATTCTCCATCATTAGCAGATGTTGGCTGGGAGGAGAAATAATCTTCACCATAACAGCATCATTAATCCGGCTATCTCGATACCTACGGCTGTGGTAGCTCCTTCATATCGAACAAAATGCCGGCAACTTAGACAACGTCAGATAAGTCAAGTGATGCAACGCTATGCCGACCTCTGCATTCAAAATTATGAGTGTCATCACCATCAGATAGCATTAGAACTCACTGTGTCGTCCCATGAAGGTAGGGTATACGCTAGTAGAGGTCACGGTTGACACTATAAGTCAAAGGCGAGGTACTTACCAACCAGATTAACAAGAAAGACGAGAGGAGTAAGATATCGGTTCTGGAAAATTAACCCGGACATATGTTTTTTTTACTAGCAGACACTGCCAATACATATGCATACCAGTAGAAACAAATATACAACTTAGTAAACAGGTTCAGATACTAGTACACATACGTTATCAAGACGTCACTCACAGGGCCTCTTGGGGCGTTTCCAGATGAATTCAATCTGTCTCGGATATGTTGAATAATTTGAGTTTCACCAATTTAGCTGGTGTCGCAACTCATCTGCGCTGGTGATAATGTGGTCCCAAACCAATATAGTGAAACCGACTATCCCAACATACTAAGTCATAGGATACCTATGTCAGTCACTGACAATAGCAGACTAGGCGGAAAACTGTACAATCGTTTGACGCCTGAAACGGCAGGTATTAAGCATGCAAAGAGGTACATCAGACTCGGACGAACACCGCTCACGTTTCATTCTCGTCCTGTAATACGTTATCCAAGTTCATTGATTCCGTCATGGATGAGTGTGATGATATTTATCTTTGAAAGCAATAAGTATTATTGAACCTGAAAGACTGTCTGAATGGGATTGTGGACGGCGAAGAAAACATCAGCAACGTTATGCTTTTATACTGGATCGGAGTTCATACATATATGCGCTCAGAGCCCGAGTCAGCCATGCTGTAGGTGGCTATTGGCAAGCTTTACCGGTCACCGGTGACTATGTTCAGATCCAAAGCGACCGACCGCATCAAACCAATATGAATCTAGGCTTGATCTAGACGGTGATTTGATACTACGCCATCGCGGCAGCACTCTGGCAAATTTTTCAGCGAACTTGGAGGGGTGCGTGGTACTAAAACTTGTAGTAGTACGCATCGGAGGGGCCGACGGAGGGCGACTTAAACAATCTGTAACGGCACCTGTAAATTAAATAAATCTTACATAAAATGTCTAAAAATAAGGTCTCAATCACTCGGTCAACACATCAAAGACCGAGATAATATAGTACTAGGTGGGATCTAGCTATAGATTCTTTGTCTTGTAGTTCTCTGTTGACTACGTATCTTATGAAATATCATCCATCTTTGCCAACTTGCTGGCACTTCATCAGAAAACTCAGCCCAAGGTCACATGCCCCTAATGGCTAATATTATGCATTCAGCAATTGGTTAATAATCCATCATCATCGTCATCCCGCAGCCCATCGAGCGCGAGTTCACATGCAGCACTGCGTGGAATGAAAAAAAATGGTACTTTCCGTGATAGATGCCTTACATAAGGACAAGGACTAGCGTGGGACGTTGGCATGTAGATTATGGCCCGCTCGCACAATAGCCTTGAGCAGAAGAGTCGGTGCATACAGGATCTGACATCGATAGTTTCCATGATCATTTTCCCTGCGATGTATCCTGCGTTTATAGGTCATGTATTCTTCGTCCAACACCAAATGTCATCATTGTGAAAGTGGGATCGTAATTGTGTAGCTGCACGTATGACAATCACCAGGCGCAGGTGTTGATCTTCCAAAATGGAGGTCGAAACAGGTACGACAAAGTGCGCGTTCCTGCTAAATGTCAAATAAGAATGGCAGGCGTAGCAGCAAACGTACCGTTCTGGTGCTAGCCCAACCACGAACCATCCAGATGGCTGGTGCGAGGACGGCACAGGCTTCCTCACAGCACGCAGGACAGAATTGCGCCACCTGGCTAGGACGATCCCCTGTGATTGTTGAGACATGGCACGATCACTGAGACTCTTCATCAACACTTCTGAAAGATTGAGCATCGTCCGTGGGATCAAATGTTATGGATGGAATAGGGGTTGTCGAAAATGGTAATTTCGGCTGTAGATCATCGTCAAAGGGTTTCCTTGACATTTGCTGGTGTCCATGTGCCAAATTGAACACCGTAGGAGGGCGAATTACGAAAGACCGGTCTTGCTTCTTGAGATGAAGTGTGACTCGGGACGTCACGACAACCTACAGTAAGAGTAAACGTCAATCAAGAATGATTTTCGTCTGCCAGTCATCAACTTACCGTTAACCTATCAAGGCGATCACGGAATTGTTTAGCATGGCAGCAGACAGACGAGCTGAGAATCTCACAAGAACACCAATCTAGTGAATAGGTGTGAATAATTATATTCACGAGCACAGTGCTAGTAGACTTACTGAGCAGCAACACCCTTCAGGCCCAAAGGCGCCCGTACTATCATCACAGTCAGAACTAGGTTAGTAGAACACATGACACTACTCGATCAACAGATTAGACGGTTGACTTGAATCGAGAAATATACCCACATATAGTACAATGTACCATCTGTTTGGAATGTTTGCAAGATAGATCCATCCCGATGACTGGGCAAGGTGCGCCATAGGGTCATGATAAAAATGACAGTGTCGTATGCTAAAGGCAACCATGCGCGAGTAACAGAGAGAGCCCTGACATTGCGGTATGGCGAGTAAGATTAAAAAAATCAACAGAACGTGACTTCATACGGCGGCAAATCATAAACCTCATAACAAGCTAACAGAGAAATCAGCGAAAAGTCACTACATCAGGCAACAGTACTCACAGTGTATTTGTTGAACATGAGGAACCACTATAATCGCATGATATCACTGCTATCTGCAAAAGTAAAAGGTGTACCCACTTTTACCAAGAGCGATTAAATACGCCTCAAGTGCAACCTGGACTAATAAGAGAAGGCCCGCAACCGCAACGAATCGCGTACGATATTGATGGAGAGCATGGACCCTACGAAAAATCGTAAGAGGCACCTAATCGTCGCACTTGAAGTGACCCACCGTATCAGCATTATCAGTTCTGCTATACTGACACCAATGATCGCCATGGCAGCTTGGTATCTGACGAAATTTCTGCAGCTTAACAGCAATTTGATGCCAGTCGTTTTCAGATCGGAAACCACATACCTCTAAGAAGATACAAATTATTAGCCTTTGAAATACTTGAAGGACAAAACAGCTGCCTACCTCTGTGGACCAATTTGGGAGGGTTAATGCTGGCTATATATTTCAACGAAATTTAATTTATGACGAAAGAATAGATCTCACCAACAATGTTGACAATAAATCCCAGAGGCGTGATATATCGATTCTTGATTCCAAGAGAAAATGTTATTTCGCGTTGATGAGTTAAATGTGGTTTCACGTACCAATATAAAGAGGTACGCGGCTAGAACAAATTCAGAGTGAATTGGGCGGATGAAACTATAAGAAGGGTGGCCTATACTTACCAGGTTTTTTGGGTTGACACCAGATCAAGGCTACCTAGAAATACTTCATATCGGTTGTTGAGATAAAATGGTCATGGAACGTACCTCATCTGCAAAGGTGATCATATGATCCCAGCACAGAAGCGTGAAACTCGCGATAGCCACAAACTTGATATGCAATAATACATCAGATGGCGAGAGGGTGATTCATCCAAATAAGACGTACGGTGACAGCCTGTCGACTAGAGATAGCTCATGAAGGGATCCGATACAAGATAGCAACATAGGCACTTACGAATAGAGTGAATCTATGGTCACAGATTGCGTAGCCAAAGCATCCATTCTTAACAAAAGTGTAACGGACAATGCAAGACGAGCGCGCGAAGCAGTTGCGATCCCTGGTGGCCGCTGAAGTCTTATATAGACGTTCCATCCCATAATAGAGACTTTACGGCAATGGAGCATCTGCTTGCTGTATAAGTGTGGAGGTCATGAGCCTTTTCAAAGAGAAAAACACGTATTACGAGTCCCTAGTAAGCGCCAGTGAGTCGTGTAATACATTCGAAATCCCAGTTCCTATTGCAAGGGACGCAACAGTTGATCGAGCTGCGTAAACTGATATTAAGGACCTGTCGCAAACGTTCGCGAAGGGGAATGACTATGTTAAAGTCGTCATCGACGCGTACTACCACCATGAGCGCCACCAGTGGCTGTGCACAAATAGTACTAATTATTACTCTCCTCGGATGCCATTCTCAAAGTATAAAGCTACTAGTGACGTAATGGTACGAGTACTGTGTATACAGTATATACTGTAAATAACAGCCTGTTGTCTTAATAATCGTATGATTTTCTAATTAGCTCTAAGGTACGAAGGAAATGACAATTATTAGTAGTATAACATTTGGTATCTGTTTGAACATCCGAGGTCAAATTGATTCAGTATCGACCACTAGAATAACGTACTTCGCAAGTCCATGTCATACAGTAGTCTGTACGACAATCTCTATTGCCTCCTGGTACCTGCTGCGTTCATTGTCCGCAGGGTCCAATGCACCAGTCACTGCAGGGCAGGTAAAGCAGATGCGAGCTTCGTTGTCTCGCTGTCCTTGAGAGCATACATCGCCGTCAAAAGCTCTTGCATGACCTTGCATTTCGAATGATTTTGTTCTCATTGGAAAAGTCTTGGAGCTAGGAGCTGGTCGTTGCGACTTCATAATATCTTGGACAGGCCTTTGACAATCGAAGTAGAGCGGAAATTTACTTCCAAGGTGTGTGTCGAGTGGTACAGAATCACGTGTGCCCTCCTTCTTCAAGTTGAGCGTGATGCGTGACATCATAGCGACCTTGTAGAGGAATGTGGCCGAGGATGAGATGAAGCCGGAAATTCATGATCTGCGTAAATAAGACTCACGGTTAATCTGCAAAATCTATTCGGAAATCAGTTTTTAGATTACCAATCGACCACACTCACATGAGTTCCAGTCTGAAATTTCAGTTTTAAAAGATGTCAGTTAACTATGCCACATGACACATACTAGTAGAAGACGCACTGTCCAGTAATGTTCTTCAAGCCACGTGGAGCCCTCACAACCATGATGGTAAAGATAAGGTTTATGGTACACAATACACTATTGAATTGAATCATGTAAAAGTTTATAGTTGTTCAATCCAGGAGCATACCTGTAGAATAAAACACCATCTGTGAATAGCCTGTGGACGATATGCCCTGCCTCTTTATTTTGTATCGAGGGCAATGTTCGGTTCAAAGTCAAGGCAAAGACGACTGTGTCATAGAAGAGAGGAATCCATGCCCATGCAGATGAAAGAACCCTTCAGAGCTCACTTTCAGTAATCCACTGATCAAATTAAAGCATGGATAACATACAAAGAATCAGAGAACTCCATGCGACAAGCTGCGTGAACACAGTGAGTAGATGAGAAAACTAGCATTCGGATAGATGGGCTCACAATGTATAGAAGAAGAGTGAGATACAGCTGATCAACAGATTAGCTGGACCCGAACCGCACGTCAAATGACTTTGGCACCCACCTACACCGTGAGACAACAGAAAAGCGCTAAGCGCCACCCAAGCAAACAACAACGATGCCACGAAGATTACAACACATCTGTTGTCGTGGTACATAGCTCGAACACTGATGGACATAATTCAGTAATTATGATGGTGATACGGTACACTTCAGTTAAGAGCTCACCGCAGGAACATCATTAGTCCCACAACTTGAATCCCAACTGCCGTCATAGCCCCCTCGTACCGAACGAAATGCTCGCATCTATGCACCGGTTACAACGCACTAAAGCTTATAATGTGATGTCTTACTTCTACATTGCTTGTTAGGTTGTTTTCATCAGATAAAAAAGGACTGACTATGAACGACCAAGAGGGCAGGCTATATGCTTCAAATTAATTGAAGCGTCACCGGTCGGCGCGAACAGTATTCATAACTTACCAATAAGGTTCACGATGAAACCAACAGGTGTGAGGTACCGATTCTACACCAAAGTCAGGCAGGAAACATCATTTCGGGCCACCAACGTACGAGCAAGAATAAGCACGTCACTAAAAGTTGATGTCACCACCGAGAAAAAAATCTATAGACGAGCTTACAGAGATTCTTCGGACGGCCCCATATCATCTTCACCTGTGATGGGTTAGCCAATGAACCAGAAAAATAACAAAAACAGACCTCGTCTGCAAAAGTGATTGCATGATCCCACACCAGAATTGTAAAGCCAAGGACGCCAACAGCCTTCAGATGTATCCTCAGCCTGTACCATTAGACATATATTTAATAACCCACAATTGTTTGAGAGCTAGTAAAGGGGGGGGGGTGAGGAAACTGAGGGACACAGTACGGGACATGGCTCTTACGCTTCTACCGCCTCACTGATTATTTGGGCGTTCAGTGGGATCGACATCATCAGAGTGACTCTTAGATCGAATAGTTGTGCTATGAATAGAAGGTAAAATGAAGCCGCTGATCCTAAGGAAAGAAAAAGGTACGCAGGGGAGTTAGATCAACGAAAACTCACTGCTCATAAATATATACATACCTGTGATGTCCTTGAGAGATGGGTAAATCGGACATTATCAGGACGTGGACCTTGCCAAGATACTAAGCGTCAATGATAATCAAACGAGCTGTGTTCAAAATGAGCGATGCTACATCGCCTGCAAGCCTTGCGTTTGTACTTTACGAAAAGTTTACGTGATTGCAAAGAAGCCCACAGTAACTCTCTCAAAATTTCGTCAGCGAAGCTTAAAGGCTCGAACACATTTGCCCTCAAGTTCAGAAAACGGGCAGAGTAAGGTACAGCTTGTTGTACGTGTTGGACTCATACATAGCGCCTCATCCCGTAAAGCATATGACGTCGTAAACACGTTCAATGTAGGGTCAATGACGGACTGACTCTAATGAAAAAAAGGTACCTGATCTTGACCAAGAGACTGGTGGTAGTAGGCCAGTCTGCCGTCAAGTTTCAACAATAGAATTTAGGGACAAAATATGACAAGAAAGCTTCGACGAGGCCTTTCTACGACTCGAGTCAGAGTACTTTCGAGGTCCACGACCCGTGAGGCAAAGACATGGGCATCGTATCTGTTATGGTAGGGAAAGAGCGACTATCTTCATTTATCCAAGGTTTGCTTTGGGGATACCAAACCTGGATACTTATGGGTGAGCAAGTCAACCTATAAATTGCAACAGCAGACGAGGCTTTTCGACAACTTACAGCCACAGTCACAACTGCAATGACTGGATCATCGTGAGACACGCTGCAGCATGTCACCCAGCTTTGCATTGGTACACAGACGGTCCGACCGACTCTTGGGTCCATCACAGCGACAGATGATATCTGCATAGAGATGCGAGCAAAAAAATAACCAACGGCAGTGAGTCAGGAGGAATGACGGAAGCATGCTGTGTCACATGCCAAGGTACAACTTTCCTGTCGCCCTGTTGGTCCACTAACGTTTCAGGCCTCGAGGTACGGGACGATCTGACAGTCCGTGTATACCGGGTTCATTTCTTGAATATCCGTTTCTCGTTCATGAATCAAAGATCCTGACAATTGACATAGGTTCAGGAGCTCATGTGGAAAAAGCTGTAGCTTGGTAAATTGAGCCCGACGTTGTTGGGGAGACACACCCAATTATCCTTGGTACAGCCTGTGCATAGTAGATAAGGTGACGATACATTCATGAAGAAAAAGGGATACTCGCGTCTTTGTGGCGCTTATCTCCTACTGCTGTCTTCACCTTGTCCTGCTCTTTGAAGTCCTAACAAAAGATAACCATAAGCCATGATCATTGATACCTTCTGACCTGAGGGCCGCGTTGTGTCGAGGTACCGTCGTAGGTGTCGTCTTTAATGAAGTAGCAAAGTACATCCCCGCAGTGTCAGCGATCCCCGATCCCCGATCCCCGACTTCCCACGAAGGCCGATGCACGCCAGAAGCCCGGCCCAGAACCCTTTCGAAAAGACTGTACCCATTGATGCCACAATATCGCACACTACAACAAGCTCTCTCATCAAAAAACGTGTGGTGCATTCGCTGATCATGCCCGGCAACGTGCACTATCATTATTTGATGCTGGAGCAAGTGTTTTGGGTGATGAGTTTATCTCGTGTGTTTTCCGTTCTTGAGCTGTTGCTCAATTTCGCCCATGACTTTGGTGTGCTTCTTAATGAACATTTGTCAGAGGTTGTCCTGTGCTCTGTCGAGGACATATCAGTCCGTCTAGAACTCAAACAGAATGCGCTGGCCTCAGTGTCCCAAATTCCTTTGTGATGCCAAGCTGCTCGACCGGTCGAGGCTTTGAAGGTTCGCTGTATGTTTGAATTAAAATTATATCATGAACACTTGGCTGACTTGAAGTAAAAGTGAGGGTTGATTATTAGAAGGAGACGTGAGAGCCCTGAAGACTGCACAGTAGCTTGAAACTCTTTGCATAGCTGGAGCGCTGTCAAAGTTCAAACTTGATATTATCGCACAAGGCAAGTTTCATGATAGAAATTGACATCGAGGCTTCAAATTATCTACTTTGAAGTTTGAAACTCACTTGAATGTTGACGCGGCGATGCTTGGGTTTGCAACTTCGTATGGCATTGAGCACACATTAGAAGGGGAGCAGCGTAGTCGGGCCCGAGTCCGACTCATCTGTGTAGATTTGTGAAGGCGTAATAATGTTCGTCGTCAATCGCGTCCGAGTCTCGCCTGCTCTAATTAAACAACTTATTGTGACCGTGTTGGCTATCATCGAGAAGAGTGTGTACAGTTCGGTATGGATAATCGAGTCAAAAATACCTAAGATTGACATAAATTATAAGAGAGTCAAGACAACGCTTAGGGTGGTAAGGTACAATGACCGTTGGTAAGAATATCGATAGTTGCGACATCGAGAAACTGAAGAATGAATAAGCTAATGAGTGTAGTCAGGGATTTAGAACGGATATGACAATGGAATATTAGGCTGTTCGACAGCGCCACCAGGGCGTTACGCTTATCCACTAACCGAAGTTCCTACTTGTCATTAATCACTATTACTGATGGAGACAATTAATCCAGGCAAAAGCTTCCTCACTTCAGCTCATTCTCAATGTCGCTCATGAACGAGGGTGTTTCTGGATTAGATATCTCGCATCGCATGACCCTGATATTTGCAGCCCTCCTTGATTCGATCACAATGTCAATAGCCTGGTGATATCACTTCCCGCTTCAGTGCGGCATTGTCGTAGTCCAGGTACGTCTGGTCTGATTTGAGTAAACATGACAGCGATCTGAGGGCCATGGTTTGCCGCGACTTCAGCTGTTACGTCCTGCGTTGGACCACGCCCTAGTCACAATCGGGCTTACAAGGAAGACCACCCTGAGCCCATTGCCGACCCGTTCAACAGTGATGAGCCTCGTCAGACGGACTTGGGTGCTCTCCCACGCTTGGTCCCCGTACTACGGTTGCGACTTGGTTACGACTGGATCACCTCGGATACAAATTGTTAAATTCAAGTTTCTTGAATTTGAGGTAGTGCTTCGTTTTTGCGTCGTCATTGCTACCTTTCCGGCTCTTTTGCATCCCTAAGTGACATCGCTAGCCTGGAAATTTAGTTTTGTGATGAGACTTTTACAGTATATAAACGCGAAAAGCGATGGTGGCCGATTAACTTTTAACCCCATACCCCCCCTCTCGCAGGCGACGCACCGATGGGACTATATTTGACTCGCCTTACATTCCTTGTTGCACTTCTAGCTGGCTTAGCTGTGCAAATTCAGGCGCTTTCCCCTGAATATCTTGCGTGCCAATTGCAAAAGGATGCGGAAACCTCTCCGTTAACTGGGTGCCCATCAGGAACCCTGTATGTCTCACCCACAGATAGCAGGGCAGATTTTACAGGTGTCCAAGCTGCTATAGAGTCTTTGTAGGTGACTGCCTGATTCTTTTTGTCTCCTGTCCTGATATTCCCACAGGCCACAGACGGGCGACGCTGTAATTCTGATTGGAGAAGGAGAATACTTTGAAATGGTTAATATTGCGCGGTCTGCACCGCTCACCCTTCTGGTAATCATAACTTTCTCATGTGTAAAGTTCAATCACCGAGATATCTATTTTGTATAGGGTCAACTTGATCCTTCCACCGCTTACGATCCAGCGGGGAATGCCTCTCAGCGCAACCTTGTTCATATTTGGAACAATTTATATGTCAAGTCTGGGCTAAACGACGAGGAGACCGCAACTTTCACTATTGCACCTTCCAATGGAGAGATGTTTGGTAATACTAACTTCAGGGCGTACAATATCGACTTCGAAAATCGTGCTGTAAGCGTCGATTTTTGTCTTTCAATTGCACATCTTCACAATCTCACCCGATTCAGGCCAACTACTCGATTTCTCAAGCCCTTGTCACCGCCATCAGCTATGCAAATGCTTCCTTCTATGGCTGCACATTTGCCAGCTATCAAGATACGTGGTACACTGGGAGCAACGCATCCACATATGTCGTTGACAGCATAATATACGGTCAGACTGATTGTAAGTCATGTTGTCTTTGAACAGTCGCCGGATTGCAGCTGCTGATGTTGTGGCAAGACCTATTCGGATTTGGCATGGCGTAAGTGTATATCAATACATGTATAAACTCCTCGAGTAACTTTTTGGAATAGCTGGTTCCAAAACGTTATTTTGGCCAACCGAGCTTGTGGTGGAGGTATCACAGCCTGGCGAGGGACGAGTGGTACCAGGAATGGGGCATACATCGCCGATTCTAAAATCATTCGGGTCAGTTTTCTGGTCTGATGCTCGTGTTTCTTTAATGACCATTTTCATTTTGAATACAGTCCCCGGATGCCAATATTACCACTAAGACTGATTCCGGCTGCTCTCTCGGTAAGCTGAGAAATGGAAGGCATGTTTGTGTTGTTGAGTTTGAGTTGCCTCCTCTAGGACGCCCATGGAATACAATGGCCGTTGCCGTGTACTTAAACACCTACATGGACGAGAGTATTCGACCTGCAGGTTTCAGTTCTTGGTCCGGAAAGTAAGCATTGTTGCAGGGAGACGGCGCCGATCGCTGATCTTTTATGGCAGAGCAAGCATTCCAGACACCACTTTTTATGCCGAGTTTAATTCGTCTGGTAAGCCTCCTGCACCCACGCTGCCAGTGTCAGATTCTTACGCAGCTCGCCTCCTCGCAGGTCCTGGAGGGGATACGTCTGCACGTGTAGAGCAAGACCACATTCTGACTTCCGATCAAGCATCATCCTTTACACTAGAGGAAGTATTCGAGGGCATACCAGCATGGATCGACTTTAATTATGAGTATTGATGGGTTTTGTCGTATTGTACTGAAAAAACTCTGGCGACGGAAATCCGTCAGTAGTTAATCCAACTTTCCTTGGCATCTGTCATCTAAGCACGCGGCAACCACACAGGTTGATGCCGATTCAAACCCATTGGAGCTTCCACATCTTTGACCGGCGTAACGGATAGCTGCGCTGCATGGCGAATAGCTGTCATCATCCTGAGACGCCCTTCAACGTCCCTTTTATCGCCTGTCGCCTCGTGGAGTGTGACCGATGATGCAGCTACCTCTGAGTCCGGTGGGATCATTCGCTTTGGTAGAGGTTCCCCATCTCCGAATGCGGTATCTGGCGGAAGTTGCCCGAGTGATCGGAGCCACTGCGCAACTGCTGCTAAAGCCTGAGAGACACGGACTTCCCAAGAGCCACCTTCCTGCCCAATAAGATGATTTAAGAATTTGACGACGACGAACGTTGCTAGGGCCTGAGGCCCAGTGAAAACCCACTATGGCGTGGCACGATGGGATCTGATTATTTTCTGATTGTAACATCGTTGATAGGGTAGATTATGAAAAGCAAATTGTAGCCACATTGTTTAGCGTCGTTCCTTGCGTCACTTTGCATCGTCCTTACATTACAGTTTGTCGTTTTGCATCGTTTCTTCCGATCCTTCGGAGCTTCGCATCGTATCGCGCGCACATTGCATTGTATTTGCAGAACTCTCACACAATGTGGCATGACATCATCATTAACATTGTATTTGAGTCGTACGCCAATTTTTTTTGTCTCCCAAGGCCATATGTGTAAGTGGTATTGTTATCATTCATAAACAGGCTTGATTTTTTTAACAGGAATCGAAAGGGTGGGTATATGCGTTCGAAGAGCACACATGGGCACCCGCCAGTTCCACTTGAGTCATTGGAGGGTCTCTGGCATCTTTTCTTCGCCAAAGGCTGTCAGTGTGAGTCTTCTTGCTCTCATCTTTTGGCCTGCTTACTGGACGCTGATGGTGCTCTGCTCTGGTCATGGCATGCTCTCAGACGGTGCGTGATCTCGTCTTCCGAGCCTTCTTAGCGAACACTGACTCTCTACTTAGCGTTCCCCCATATTTCACTCATTCTACGATGGATTCACGCACACATTGTTTCCTATATTCTTTACAGTGACACGTTGATATCCGCAGGGAAACGGGTACAGGTGCGAGTACGACTGCCCACACCCACAGGTTTACCCATGCAGTTCCAGCTGCTACGCGCCCTGCACCTGCCTGTATGCTGCCGCGATACCTAGTACTACTCATGTCATGCACTGTCGTAGCATATCGTTTCTCGTCATATCAATCCATGTATTCTACTGTACTAAATTATATGGTGTTATATGATTTTATCTGAAAATTGAACGAAAAACTTATGTCGTCGGAGGAGATCGTGCCCCATCATGCAATATATGTGATTCCTACCGACGTCATATGTCTGTCTCTGATTTTTTGCGTAGGTGAGAAAAAAAAACATATCACGCCCGTTCCCATCGTGCCACACCATAGTGGGTTTTCACTGGGCCTGAGGACTCACAGTGATCGTTTTTGCGATTGCAGCTTGAATTCCAAAAGCGAGGAAGGACCCTGCGACATGATCCAAGGCTTGCACAGGGAGTGCCCGAGGTTCTGGCTTATCCGTGACGGGCTGCCCATTGAACTTGGCAAAAGCTTCAGACTCCGCCCAATTGAAGCCCGTAGCAGTCTGCACGAGCGAGTCGAACTAGAGATCTCATTATCAGAAAGTATAATAATGAAAGTTGTAAAAGTATTACGCCGCGCTTATGCTTCCAGGGACCCTCCCAACCATACGCTGTCAGATTGGCGCATACAATACCAGGCCGAACTCTAGCAAGTTCCTGAGATCCAAACCCTTTTTCCTGAAGGCCACTTGGTCGGTATGCTTGCAGGAATACATCAGCATCTTCGACTAATTCTTTCAGGCGGTCATGTTGTGAGGCTTGGGTGAGATCGAGCTGTGTCGTGCGCTTGCCGCGAGACGTATCAATATCAAGCACGGGTAAATCAGGAAGATTTGGGGAGGTCACGAGGAGCACGTCAGCCCCATATGCTGTCAATTTTGTAGATCAATAATGCAACCCGGATCACTTTCAGAAAGTAATATTGTTACGTACCTGCGAGCGCACGGCCGCACACCGGTCCAGAAAGCACCCGGCACAGGTCTAACACTCTAATTCCCTGGAGGGAACTGTGGAGACTCCTTGATGTCTCGCTTGGGAGCGTCTCCGATCTTGATGAGCTGAACTGGAGGGGTTCCTCTTAATGCAGCTGCGTGCGGATGCTTGTCCCACTCCTCAAATGACCTATAGGCACTGACACACATTTTCTGCTTTACTGCCTCATCTTCGAAATCTTTCGCATTCCATTGCAATAACGCAGCTTGAACTGCTTCACGAGTGGGATCACATTGCAAAATATTGAGAATGCCCTGTCGATGACTTCGGTGATGATTAGCCACTAAAACCTGCCTAAAAATTGTTGTAAACCTACTGCGGAAAGTTGGTGTGTAGACGAACAAAACTATTGTCCTTGGTTCTGTATATCCCTGCTAGGTAATCCTGCATGGACTTAGTTGGCATCTGGCCATCTACGGTGTACCAAGATTCACTGCTTTGGTTGAGTGAGATGAAATAGAAGATAGAGGAAAGAGTGACCTAGATATGTCTAGAATAGCGTGGCGTGCATTGACACTGACGTCTTGCATATTTCCGGTCCTCAGATAAAGGATATATGCAGCTGCTAGGCCTGATAGGCCGATAGATGTCTCAAGGGGGCTTTCTCATATCGATCGACACCCGGGCATTTGAAAGAAGTATCCTTACCTGGGCTGCGCTCCCTAGCTTGAAGGAAGAATTAATTGCGGTGTCAGGACAGCCACTGAATTTGAGATGTGAAAGGATTTCTGGGGGCAAATCATTGGCGAGCCAAAAAAGAATTGGCCTGATTGTGTGATTGTGAGGTGCAGGACATGTTTCTGCGACAAATATTGAACGGGAGGTGTGATCGGAACATTTAGGGAGTGCACTAGAAAAGTCAGTGAGTCCGTCCAAGAATATCACAAAAAGAAACATGAATTGTGCATGTCCAACGCGTTGGTCAGTGACATGACAGCTGACGAGGTCTATTTTTGTGAGTGAGGTCTTTATAGATCCTATAGATCATCCAAATATACCAATGCTAAACGGGCTAAGCCATTGAAAGCGGAAGTTTAAATGTGTCGGAATAAGCCGCGAGACCGAGAACTCCCGAAGAGGTGAATATTTTGGTAAGCGCAGCCTTTCGTTTACTCTGTCCTCTTCGGTATGGTCTCCAGAGCACTGTCGGCGTCGCTAGCCCGTTCACTCAGGACTTCAGCACGCAACCCTGTAAGTTTCTGGACTTTTCTATGTCGTTTTACTTTGATTTTCATCCCCAACCAGCGTCCCTTGCGCTCATTTGCGACAGCTGTGAACATTCCATCTCCCATCACCCAAACAACAACTCTTTCCAATGGCCTAACTGTCGCAACAGAATCTCATCCTCATGCACAGACCGCAACAATTGGCGTCTGGATTGATGCCGGTTCCCGTGCCGAGACTGACAAAACTAATGGCACTGCTCACTTCCTTGAGCATATGGCCTTCAAGGGCACCAAACGTCGCAACCAACACGCGTTGGAACTCGAGGTCGAAAACCTTGGCGCACATCTAAATGCGTACACCTCTCGCGAGCAGACTGTGTACTATGCAAAAAGCTTCCGAAAGGATGTTCCGGTCGCCGTTGATATCATTTCCGACATTCTGCAGAATTCCAAATTGGAGACCACAGCGGTTGAAAGGGAACGTGATGTCATCCTTCGAGAACAGCAGGAAGTCGACAAGCAGCTCGAGGAGGTCGTGTTCGATCACCTTCATGCTGTTGCATTCCAACGTGCGTCTCTCACTTCAATACTCGCTTTACAACTCATTCATCAATTTTTGTAGACCAACCGCTTGGTCGTACCATTCTTGGCCCTAAGGCCAATATTCTCTCCATCAAGCGTGACGACCTCGATTCCTACATTAAAACCAACTACACTGCTGACCGCATGGTTCTCGTTGGTGCCGGAGGTGTTGACCACCAAGAGCTCGTTAACCTCGCTGAAAAGCATTTCTCTTCTCTTCCCACCTCGCCAAACCCGATTCCTCTTGGCCGTCTTGCTCATCCTCGTTCGAACTTTGTCGGTTCGGACGTTCGGCTCCGTGATGATGCAATTCCTTGTGCACACGTCGCCATTGCCGTTGAGGGTGTTGGTTGGAGCTCACCTGACTACTTCCCCATGCAGGTAATGCAGAGCATCATGGGCAACTGGGACCGCTCCCTCGGGGCTTCTCCTCTCCTCTCATCCCGCCTTTCCCACATCGTCTCATCGAACAACCTTGCTAACTCATTCATGTCTTTCTCCACATCTTACTCCGACACTGGTCTCTGGGGCATTTACCTTGTGTCCGAGAATCTCATGAACCTTGATGATATGACACATTTCACTCTGAAGGAATGGTGCCGGATGTCTATGGCACCGACTGATGTTGAGGTTGAGCGCGCTAAGAGCCAGCTTAAGGCCGGTTTGTTGCTCTCTCTTGACGGGACGACTGCTATTGCCGAAGACATTGGAAGGCAACTTGTCACCACTGGTCGCCGTCTCACCCCTCAGCAGATCGAGTCTGCCGTTGATGCTGTGACCACGGACGAGATCAAGCGCGTCGCACAGAAATACCTGTGGGACAAAGACGTAAGAGTTTTTCCTGAACTGAAGCTGGGCGCATTCACCTAATCACTCCTTTGTAGATTGCCATTGCAGCTCTTGGCCCGCTTGATGGTCTTCTTGATTACAATCGCATTCGCTCAGACATGTCATCTATGACCTATTAAAGGTTAATTGCTTTCATCGTTTGCATCAGGCAATGCACTTATAGTCACACTCGCAGGATGATCAGGTGTGATTATTGGGACGCTAACTAGACGATATGCTGTTCGCTGTTGTTCGTTCCTAGTAGACAGGGAATAAATGACTTTTAATACCAATATAATTTCCCAAGAGCAAATCGACCTGCCCCTACAGATTGTCCAAATTTTCGTCATGGACTTATTGCAATTTTCCAATTCTACGTACAGGACTCACCATGGCATAAAACATTGCACTTGACAATCGACACTGTTATGATATCGTGACGGCGGTGGACAGCACCAATTCCTAGGAACAAATTTCGAATGCACCCATTCGAGTTGGTCATAACCTCCAGCGTTATATATAAAATGTTGATAGAATGCACTGTTCTCTGTTCTGGCAAAGCATAACCCCTCCTCTCGTTCTCACTATGCCATTACACAAAGTACAAGCTGACAATTTTGGCTACAGCTTTGCGTGTTGGGCGCCATTGCAGTCTATTATTTCCTAAAATCAGCTCCGTAACAAGATACACGTGTTGTCTTGTCGGTGCGATGCGCCTGCGAGGATGCGGCCGTTCGGAGTTATAGCAATGAAATAGACTCTGCCCTCCAACTCCACAATTTGTTTCCAACCCATGTCCTGATTGAGGTATGTCTGCCCCTGCGATAAGTGTTTGTCCAGACTATAGGCTCGTTACCTGGCTGCTCATGGTAATACAAGGCTGTCCAGATCCAGCAAACATAGTCACGTCCGGTGATCAGACGGCTGCGTACACGCAATAATGCACTGTCTCAATCGGTGCGAGAATCGTCTTTACATTTTTCACGTTTCATTGTCTTGCGGTCCCATCTTCGGATCCGCTCAAGACTCGCCGACCATCTCGACTCCAGCAGACAGAGTTCACTCCTTTTGTATGCCCCATCTATTTCTCGATCACTTTTCCTGTGTCTGTGTCGATGACTCATAACCTCACTTCAAGATCCTTACTACCGCTGACCACTTTCTTCCCGTTTGGAGCCAACGCTACGGCCCATGCTTCACTGTCTCTCGCCAGTCATCCCCTATCTGTCTCCCACTTTTCAAATCCCATACCCGCAGCAAGCTGTCCCACGAACAAGTCATCATGCGTTGTCCGCCTGGCAGATGTATGGCGTCATGGACCAAATGGGTGTCCCTCAAATTTCTGGCAGAGTGTGATCGCTGGTGCCTCCTTCCTTCCAACTGCGGCTGAAGACATCCAGGCGTGGCTCCATCTCAGCTTTCGCCCAATAAAGTCAAAGAATTCATCCGAAGAAGGTGTATGTTGTTCGCGCGGTACGATGAGATCTCGATTCTCCATGTTGCGATGACTTTGCTTGTGTCTGAGCCGATGTCCCATCCACCGCCCCGTTAATCAATTTCCTTCCATCTGGAAACAACGATATGGTCCGTACATCATATTCTGTCTCGTCTGTCGTTTCCTATCTATTTTGTTACTCTCAAGTTTCATACCCGCCGTGTCGTCCCTTGAAAAGTCATTATCTGCTCTGCATCTGGAAAATGTATGGCCTCCTTGACCCACTCGGTATGCCCTTCACATTTCTAACATGGCGTTATTGTGCTTGTCTTCCAACCATGTACGAAGTGGCATGTGTTGCATTCTGTGCACCGCATGCAATCCATGTGTCTCACCAACACTCCTTTACTCCACTATCCTGACTCCTATGTTTACTGCCTAGCTCCGGTATGCTAAAAATTGTGCCGCCCTCTTGACAATAAGCTGCCTCTCCGCAGCCAACCGACTGCTCCTGGAACCATGAAAGACCCGATCACCGGTACCAGTCGCTTTTATTCTTCACAAACATTGTCACGAAACCTCCGCTTGTAGGTCTGGTGTAGCGGAACGCAATAACTCTAATGCTTCTGAAAACCTTCCTTTGAGTGATAGAATGGCACCCCCAATCAACTTCCCCACACGATGCTCGTTCGGTTACAGCTGTCGCTGATAACGACTCCAGATCATACCGGATACACTGTATCAATTTTAATTTTGATTTTGCTCCGAGTCTTTAACGTTCTTGACGACCAAATGACTCCTTCGAACGTACTTGCCCTTCGCACCGACCCAGTTGCGCGCGGTCAACTACACACCACTCTATCTACAGTTCGATGTCGCTAGTCTCCCGTAGGAAATAGTTACGAATATTCATGCAGGTATCATTTCAAGTCAAAACATGGTATCCAATGGCAAACCAGTGCCGAAAGGCCCAGACTAATACAATAAAGATCGACAATATTCACGCCTCAGTTCCGCCTCTGGATGTCCCTTTGGGACGATATTTCAATATCCACGGGTGTCGTGAGACATCAGTTAAAGGGATACGCTCTTCAGGATTATATTTGAGTAGCTACAAGGTGATCAGGGTCTGTAGATCACTGAGCCACGACGTGGACATACCTGTGTTATTAGGTCTCTTGCCTCGGGAGAGACAAGCGATGGAATTCTGAGGTCGACTTTAGCTATTCGACGGTAAGTAGCTTGAATTACAAGCGTCAGCTAAATGAAAGGGTAAGTGCAACAGACTCCTTACCGTTGACGCTGTTCCGATCTTCAAAGGGAGGATTCCCAACCAAGAACTCGTATGTTAGTACACCCAGAGCCCAGTAATCCACCTTCTCGTTATGTTCCCTTCCTTCGACCATCTCAGGTGGCAGGTAATCGAGCGTCCCGCATAGAGTCATGCGTCTATTGCCAGGTGCGTGTACACTCCATCCAAAATCACCTATCTTGAGTTCACCATTGATCCCCAACAACAAATTTTCCGGTTTGATATCTCGATGAATGACGTGTTTTCCATGCAAGTAGGACAGAGCATCCGCCATCTGATCGATATATCTCGAGCTCCGTTTCTCTGAAAAGCTGCCATGCTTTGAGAGCTGCTTGTATAACTCACCCTTGCCGGCAAACTCAAGCATGAGGAAAATGCGTTTCTCGTCATGGAAGTAACCGTACAAGCGGAGTACGTTCGGGTGCCGAAGGTTTTGTTGAATTTCTATTTCACGTCGAATCTGTTTCTCGACGCGAGACTGTATGATTTCGGATTTGTACAGGCATTTGAGGGCGAGGATGTATTGCGGCTCGCATTTAGTGCGGACCATGTATACGCGCCCAAATTTTCCTTTTCCTAGAGGGCGACCGATTTCGAATGAGGGGAGACTCCATTCTCGAGTGGGACGTGCTCTGAGGGAGATGTTGATGATAAGATGCCACTAACGTTATCTTTACTCACCCCGATACACTAGAATCAAGAGCAAGGGCTTCAGCTGCCTCTCCAAAGACCTTTTCGCCCCTCTTCTCGTTGTCTAGCTCGAGGCCACCATCATACTTGCCGATGTCGAGTGAGGGCTGAGGTTCTGAAGGAGTTACCACTCTACTAATTCGAGCTGGAGCATTTGTGTTCGTTTGGTTTCGGAGAGCAGACGGTTGAGTCGGTTTTGCTGTGGGGGGATGAGGTGCGGCATATTTTGTGAGCAGTTTGGCAACATTTGTTTGGGAGGGTTGCTTGGTATGGCCGGGACGAGAAGATTGTTGGTGCTTCTTTGAGGAGATTTCGAGGGCAGCGATTTGTTTAGTGACTGCACCTATTGATGCCATACTTAGAGTACTTGAGAGGCTGGGATGGGGCCCAACGCGTGGCCGTGCAGTTGGTTCAACTTTTCGAACCCCGCTCACGCGTCGATCACGTGATCGATATTTTAAGTACAACCCCGTATACCGATCAATACGCTTGAGTGATGCTTTGCCTACCAGTGAACACCGCCGCATGAGGCACACCCCGGTAAGTTTCTGCCCACATATCGCAACTGGTTTGTTCTGAAAATGATCTTAGTAATCGTTAGGGAGCAATAAACTCAGTATATGAAAGCACAGTCACATCGGAGATTATCTAATTGTATACAAATCTCGGATCTTTGATCCTCGAACATCTAATCTTCTATCGAAAACACTACTAAGACGTCCTTTTCGTTTTGAATATGACCGTCAACTAAAATTCATCAGAAAAGTAGCTGCTAGATCTGTGAAAACCATCATTTCAGCGCACAACTCCTCTCCTGGTCTGCTGATGACACTCCCGTACATGCCGGGGATGATTGTCTTTCATCAGTATCTTCCCGCACTTCGGCCACAAACACTCCACCTTGACGCGGTTCTCCTCTACAAAAATACGACGAAGAGAATCCATGTCGTAAATCCCGAAACCGCTTTCGGTGTCAGACACAGCCAATCTTTCCATGGAAAAATCTGCGCTGGTTCCTAGACCCATGCCCACAACGTCAAAAGACATAGGAGAAACTTCGACAGCAGCGACAGGTGGCATAGGAGGAGATACTAAGTGTCCAAAGTGTGCATTGTAATGCGAGGAAGGATGAACTGACTGCAGATCACCATGCCTGATAATGGAGATTGCCTGATTAACGGTCAGCTGTTGACCGTGCACCGCCTGAAGACGGACAAGGAAGGCTTCAACAAAGGATGCCATCCGTGTGTTGACCAATGGAGGAGCAATGTGATCCGTGACGAAGCTGTCCCATAATCTGTGAGATGATCAAGTACCGACTCAAATCTCAGATTGGATGGGACTTACTGATGCTCCGTGAAGTTACTGGATGAGGACAAGCCTACGGGGAAAACAGGCAAAACACCTGGTGTAACGTTGTCGATGCTGTTGATCGTACGATGAGGGTGTCAGAAAATATCACTTGCATCAACGCTGACCACTACTCACAGCACCTGACTCGGAAAATCCTGGTATGGGTCGCTGATAGAACTGTGACCGAAGAAATCATCTGACACGTTTATATTAATCTGGCAGCTCTGAAGGTTTGCTGTTAGCTCTTCCAGCATGTGAGATTGTGAATTCATGGCGGGTAATGGGTGACTATCATGTTCACTGTTCAGATTAATTTATACAGTACGTTCCATACTGTGGCAATAAATGCAACGATCAATGAGTCTGGTTCACAGCAAACATACCTTACTCAGCATAGACTCAGCAATTATACAATATGACGTTGTTTGCTGAGTATATATAGCAGTGTTGGCAATGCTGCGCAACCTGATAAACGCTCTAGTGGTCAGTGCTTAATTTGACGCTACTAGATTCAAGGATCTTGGACCTGTACACCGACATATTCACTCGCCTACATGGTTTCACTTTGCCCACCTCGGCGCATATCAAACAAGTACCTGGGCTCTCTTTCTGTCTTCAAGGACCACCCATCATTACATGTTTGCACCACAAATCCTGTACTAGCGCGCTACTCGCGGCCGAGCACGTGTTAATCTGATATTATGATGCAGCCTAGTAATTACCACGCACATGGTTTTTAAAAAGTTGACCTCACCCATCAAACAGCATGTCTAAAACGGCCAGCGGGAACGGCGGACTGATGGGCCTCGCATCGGGGCATTCGCATGTTTGGAGATGCGATTGGGACACCGGGGGTCCCATAGACTAGATTGTATTGTCCTACAAAAGAAAGGCATTCCTGATGCTATGTGCTCCAACTTGAAAACAATTGCAAATCCGCAAGGGGCCGATGAAGTCGGTAAAGACAAGATGTGAAGGGAATTGAAAGCCGTCTTACGGTTTTAGTTATATGACCACTTGGTCTGAGTTTATCGGAGGCATGTCTTAGTAGCAGACCGGTTTCCAGAGTGATGCTTCCAGTGTAGCACCGACAGTCAGCTTTTCGAACATGGACCTAAGTCACGAATTTTTTGATCCATGACTTGCAGGACTCTTATACAAAGCAAATTCGGATAGATGGTGTTTGTTCTGCATACACGCTAACACTCGGCATGTTAGAATATATGATTCAAGTTATTCGTATTTGAGACTGACTATCAAGAGGACATGCCATTCACTGTTCGGAATAATACGCTCTGGCCAGCCGCCACAAACGCAATGATCAAAGACCGATTCACAGCAACCAAAGTATCACTCAGTGATTATACAACACGAGGACATTTATATGTGGCAATGTCGATGCTGCACGGCCTGATACACGTTTTCTGTGGTCAGCACGTAATTTGACGCTAGGCACTATACTCAGGTATTTCCGAGTCAGCATCATCGGAAATTCCCTGCAATCCCCGACACAATAAGGCCAGCATAACGACTGAAATGAATATACATGCATGGAATAAACAGAAAGGTGGATTCTGGTCAGCGTGACCCTGAGCACACCATTCAATACTATGTGCTCACTCATGACGGAAATCGAAGGAGATCGAAAGTCGATTTCGGGGTTTATGTTGGTGAGCGGCTTGCATGGCCACTTGGGCTGTCAAACGCATGTCTTCGTATACGAAATGGCCGGTTGCTAGAGGGATGCATCCAGTGCAGCACCATCGGAGCCAGCTTCAAGTGGGATGCAACGTACAGATAACTAGTAAGGCTAAGTTACGAATTGAATCAAAGATCTGATTCATATTTGCAAGTCTGGAGTTTGCAGAAATAGATTGATTCTATCCTATGCGCCAAGAGACGGCTGTTAGAATATGCGATCCAGAATGGAGTCACTGAGACTTAGCGGTGTTATCTTTAGACAGAACAGGTAGTTCTTGACTTCGTGCCAGTATCACATCTCCACATCGCGTTGAGCCGCTCGTGGTATTGCCAGACGAGAATCTACCATTCCCTGTTACTTGGTTAAAATTTTTCGGTTCCCTACCACTTCAAGGCACGAGCAATCATCGTACAAACTGCGTGTACAGCCATGAGTTAGTCACATCAGGGGACTGGTTCGGAGCCGCTGATATCATCATATATCCTATATAATAAAATCGGGTCAACTTCCACAAAAGAGGTGCTTTTTCCGGGGGTCGCCAAAGATTCCTATTTGGGAGTAGAACGTCACGTGTATGGCAAACGGTCGGGCGAGCGGAATTTGAAAAACGGTCTTCGCTATTTCGATCTCTCACGTGACAAAGTTTTTGCTGAGTCGCAAAGTGTTGAGCTCCTCCGGGTCCTCGAGGCCTGTCATTGTGTGCACAGATTCTTTTCCGACACACAGCAGGTACGTGAAACTGACAAAGATTTCAGTGCTGTAACACATGGCAAGCACGAACACTGTGGCTGGGTCATCTGCCTCTATGATCTTGCCCGGCACATTCTCTGATTACGCGACCTCTGTGCAATCGGCTGCACTGGCTACAGCTCGTCTCGCTGCTACTACACTACCAACAGACGTAGAATTCCACCGTTCAATACATGAGTCATTTGCTGCAGAGCTTGACTCGCTATCCACACGAGTCCTCCGGCTTACCAATAGGCTTGTCCGACTTGCAGGCTCTATGGATGGCAGTACTGTGAGCTGTGGCACACTGGATGGCGAGGAGGACGTCTTGGATGGTTTCAGATCCTTGATTGTTGACACAGCGGACAGACTCTTTGAGAGGACAGATATGTGTTTAGATGATTATTTGGGGCGTAAGAAAGAGCCCGCTATCAAGGTTGCCGCTCTACTGAACCAGAACAACAATTCATCAAAGGTACATCCATACTGTTTTGTAACTGCTAAGTACTTATCGTTCCATAGAAGCCACAAGCCACGAGAGGACGCCTTGACCCTGCGTTACAGCATGCTTCTCATCTACCAAAACCTCAACTGCTATTCAATACCAAAGTGGACAATTGGAATGAGTCACCGTACATCCCATCCCGTACTCTTGAGCACAAGTGGTGTGCTCGTGTACCGCTTGGGTATATATTCCACGACCAAGACGAAAATGGTAGCATAGACGAGGAAGAAAAGCAGAAGCTGTTCGTCCTTTCTGAATTTGCGATGAGTGCTGTCTAAGTTTTTGCAGATCAGCGCACCCCTATTATTATGAGCTCACCCATCCAACGTTCCCTACTCATCTCTTCTCTCCAACCCCTACCGCTATTCGTCCTGCTCCTCTCACAGGTACCGACGTCTCGAAGTACATATATGTCTCGACACCGTCTGCTCTCTTGTCGATGGCTACAACGCTCAAAACAGCGAAAGAAATTGCTGTCGACCTTGAGCACCACTCATACCGCACATACAGAGGGTTTCTTTGCTTGATGCAGATTAGCACACGCGAGGAAGATTTCATAATCGACTTGCTGGTACCAAGTGTGCGAGATTCGATAAGCAACGCACTCGGTGAAATTTTTGCTGATCCCGAGATAGTCAAGGTACGCTTGCATAATTTGCAGGGGGTAGTTTTGTGCTTCATTAATTCTTATGACTTCCAGGTATTTCACGGTGCAGAGAGTGATATCGTGTGGCTCCAGCAAGACTTCAATATTTTTGTCGTTGGACTGTTCGACACATATCACGCCTCAAGGGCGCTAGAATTTCAGCAGCATGGCCTTGTGAATTTGCTAGAGGCATTTTGCGACTTCATACCCGATAAGCGGTATCAGCTAGCCGATTGGCGCATTCGGTATGTCCAATTATCTTTGCCTTTTCTTCTTTCCTTCCCCCTCCAATCGCGGGACGGATCGTACCTGGGGTAACGCCCTTAGGTTTGATGCCTATGTTCTTATTGGGATCGATCAAAACTATCTCAGTCAGTCTATCCCCGTCATATCATCACTATTGCGCTTCACTCGTGTCGTCTTGATGGTTTTATAAGGACCGATGGAACGTTAGTTCTGTGGAACTAATTCGCGTCCGTGTTATATGAGCTCCATATGATGTGATTTCTGTGCCATTATTGTTCTGCATACGTTGTCAACTTTGCTTCACCTCCAACTCCCTCTGAAGATATAACAACTGACTTTAAATCTATGAAGTCCATTGCCAGAGGAGATGCTCACATATGCACGCTCTGATACTCACTTCCTGCTATATATCTATGATCAACTTCGACTCTCCCTTATCGAGCATGCACAGACGATCACTGCTCCAGAAGCATCTTTTTCGACCGCAATATCTACTATAATCAAGGGCACTATATCCGACAATCCGGCGCACGTGCTACTGAATGATGTATTGGCACGTTCGATTCGTACTGCTCTAAGGTTATATGACCGCGAAACATACGACGCCGAGTTTGGCGTAGGTACAGGTGGCTGGGATACGCTTGCGCGAAAATGGAACAAGAATGCATTGGCCAACAGTGCCAGCGAGACTAATGGTGTACGAGGTGGTGTAACTGGGCAGGTATACAGGGCAGTGCATCGGTGGAGGGAGGATATAGCCAGGGAAGAGGATGAGAGTACGCGGTAAGAATTGCCTTCATATCCGGGGACCATGGCGAAGTGGTTCCACAGAATTGGCGGGCCTCCTCTGCTCATATATTGACTAACCTGGTGCCCAGATATGTTCTCCCAAATCATCAACTTTTCATTGTGGCCGAGCGGTCACCTTCCAATGCTGCTCAACTCCTTGCGCTCTTCTCACGCGCCAGCATTCCGCCCGTCCTGCGACGAAGAGCAGGTGAACTTGCTGAAGTCATTAAGTCTACTGTGGAGCGAGTGACGTTTTCAAGAGTTGCTGTTGAGACCGTCGCGGTGACCATAGATGTCGAAGAAGTCGACTCAACTGCCTCGATCGAAGTCGTAGCTGAAGAAACTGCAAAATCCAAACTGTGGGGGTCAGCAAAAGTTTCTTCCCCAGTCGTTCAGCGTGCATCCTCCTCTCTCTTCGGCCTGCGGACCGCAGTAGCTGATGAAGGAAGTTCATACTCGGCTTCGCGAAGTTCATTATTTGGCACCTCATTACCTTCTCGCATGACGCCTCAAGTAAGTTAGTCCACTCGCCTGCATACTTTTATGATGCGATCATTCTTTCCAGAGCTCAGTACCAAGTATATCAACCAGTAGAAAGAAATTTAATGACCTCGTGACACGGATACACCGGACCCTCGTTATTGCGCCTAACCAACCACAGGCACGCCAATCACTGCATTTGCACATATCTTATCTTCATCTCAATACTTAGATTATTCAAATCGGTTCTCAGACAGTCTCCCAATCTAGCGTCTCCTCGGGCTCTGCCTCGACCCAGTCAACGATGCCTGTCTCCACTATGGCTTCAGCAGAAGCACCTGATGGTATCCTTGGACAAGCAGAAATCCCGTTCATTCCTACCGATCAGCGACAGCCTCGTCTCGCCCCTGTTTCAGATGATACCATTGTAGTCGTGGGTCAGGCCAGGCAGAAGAAGCGCAAGCGGATCAAGACAACAGTTTTGGGCAAATCCCAATCCGGAGATCAGGACGACACGGGTGAGGATGAGGTATTTGATTACACAACAGTGCCGAACCTGCTAGATGATCTCCCGCCGGCTCCTGAGGAGCTCGACATGAGGAAGAAAAAGAAGCAAAAAGCCAAGGGTACGTGATCGGCTGTTTTCTCGATCTCTTTTGTTGTAATCATGCAGTATCCCGCAATCTTCTTTCACTCACATGTCACTTTATCATCATGGGCACGCTTACCTAACTGGTGACAGGTACCGGAGCCATAGAGTATGGCGATTTTCGCGCACCACCGCGAGATATGCGCGAGGTTAAGAGTGGTAACAAAACTCGTACATTTAGATGACTATAACGTTGTATCTGTGCTTCACATCTTGGCAGGTGTTGTTTATATGCTATGTCGCTCCTATATGCGATCTGGACAACGTCACTTCTGCTCTCGTGTTAGTGGGCACCATGTTGAGGTCTTTCAAACAGAGGTTCCTGTTGTGCCATTGGACTCGACTTGCCGCTTGAAAAATGTACCAATATCACGAGGCAAACGCAACATGTGACCGTCGACGCTTGAGCACAGCGGACGGACCCAATCGGCAGTATCTTTGAAAATCTTGGAACATCCCTGCCCGGAATTCTCTCTCAACAATTTCCGGCTGTGGATGGCCAAGCTCGATGACCGTCACGCAAAGGTGCGCACACGGTGCATCTTTCGGTAGCCGTCTTGTCATACCAGCTACCATTGGGATGTACTCGGGAGAGCGTAATATGATCTTGTGAGTGACTCCTTTGACTCTATAAGAAGTGATACGTTTTGCGTCAGAGGCTACCAACTTCCACTGCTTCATGTGCAACTCATGGCCACTGTGACTGCTACAAAAGTGATTCCTGTGTCTGAACCCAAATCACTACCACATAACTCTCATGTCAAACCGTCCCCTGGCACTCAAGATACAATCGATATAGAACATGTTCCAGTCGACGACGATCCACGTCAATGGAGTTATGCCAGAAAAGTGCGTTCAAGACATCATTCACGTTCTCAACTGGCCCAGTTAACGTTGTATCACCTGCAGACCGTAACCCTATGCATCGTGTCCCTGGCCACAATGGTGTCTGCGTTGGCGGGTAACATTCAAAATCGTTCGTCGCATGCCTTTGCCTATTGAATGTTTTCGGGTTGACGTCATCTCATAGCCTCGAACATTCTGATAAAAAATGATCTACATGCGACAAATAATCAGATTAGCTGGACATTAGCGGCGTTCATACTCATACAAGGCAATTTCCCACTAATATGGAGCGCCGTGGCCGAGATTACAGGCCGTAAGGTTGGTCGCCTTTGTTGATCTATTTAAGAATGCATATCTCGATCATTATAGGTCGTCTATCTGCTGTCCTCGGCTTTATTTGTAGTAGGGAGTGCTATCCTAGCACTTTCAAAGACCATCGAAGTGATGATCGCCATGCGAGCGCTTCAAGCAGCAGGGTGAGCTCTTATCTAAGAAGTTTGAGCGCGGATTGATGTCCTGCAGGTCAAGCGCTTTCTTGTCTATTTCAGCTGCGACCCTGGCCGATATTTACGATACTCACGAACGCGGGACCATGATGGGCGTCTTCTATGCTGCACCACTTTTAGGGCCCGCGCTCGGCCCTGTGATCGGAGGGTTATTATCACAGGGCTTCAACTGGCGTGCAAGTTTCTACTTTCTGCTGATCTGTGGAGTAATCATCTTCCTCTTCTTCCTCATCCTGTTCAAGGACACATATCGATGTGAACGAAGTCTCACGTATTGTTCTGCCCTACAACGACGTTCTGCCTCCCAGGAACCTGTTCGGCGTCTCAGCCAGTCTACCATCGCAGCATCTGAGTTCGGCGAGAACAAAACGCACGACAACGATCTTGAGAAGCAGTCCCAACACCCAGTTGTTCCAGAGAAGATTCCATCCGCGACGCCTATACCAGGGCCGGACAAGATTAGGCTATCAATCAAGGACATTAATCCTTTTCCACCATACTTTCAAATTTTGTCACGAAAGAACAACGTTCTAATTCTTACTGTTAATGGTCAATGAAGGCTGGCTTCTCGTTTGTTATGTCACTAACGTCTTCACTAGGACTTATCTTCGGTTTCAACTATTGCCTATCATACTCATGCGAACGCACTCTCGCCAATGTGTATGGTTATAACGCGCTAAGCGTTGGCTTGGTCTTGCTTTGCCTTGGCATCGGTGAGATAATCATCTGGATTGCGGTAGAGACTAATTTCTTGTCTAGGGAGTGTCGCTGGGAGTATAATTGGTGGGCGTTGGTCTGACCGGGTGGTTGGGAGAATGAAGAAAGCGAATGGAGGACAGTGGTATGCAGAAGTAAACTTTTCCGAAACTCTTGCACGGGAACTTTCTTGATTGACTTCTTACGAAGATGCGATTAGAGAGCGCAAAACTGGCAATGCCATGGATACCTCCATTTATCATCGGTTATGGTTGGGCGTGCGACAAGCATCTCAACGTGGCTGTCATTTGTTCGATGCTTGTCCTTGTTGGATTCACATCAATGTGTGTGAAGGATTTATTTATGGTCATGGTTATCCTAATATTTTCTTCCAGATGGATGTACGCAAGCACATTATCGTACCTCGTCGATGCCAACCCTGGTCGCTCGGCCGCAGCGGTGGCCACAAATAGCTCATTCCGAGGATCCCTGGCTTTTGTTTCAGTCATGGTTGCTGTGCCGCTTCAAGTAGGTTCCCGTGCTATCTGCTGTAATTCACAAATACTGACGCTAGCTCGCTCTCGCCGTAGAACGCTTGGGGAGACGGCATATTGTTCACGGCATGGGCTTGCCTCTTGGGTGCTGCAGAATTCCTGATTATAATAGTGGTGCACAAGGGAGAATCGTGGCGCAAGGAGAATGACGAAAATGAGCGTAAAATGTTAAGCAAATGAATATTCATGTTTTTATATTGTTAAATAGATACGAGCATGCAGGGCAAGCCCATCTAGTTAGTTGCAGAGTAATATATATGTACTTCCATCTGAAATGAAATATTTAGGCTACTTAGATCATACTGTCCAAATAAAATGGAAATTTCTTTCGTGTTGCAGCTGTGAAACCGAAATGCTGATGTAATCGTTGACATAAGAAATTTCCATAAGGGGAATAAATAATTTTGATTCGACCCCACACAGTTATGTAAGTCAGCCCCTCACAATGGTTTCAAAATATATATTCTCATTTCTTTTCCATCACTGGGTGACTTCCCGTAGGCAAAATAATGCGGACCATCATATACCGGACTTTGAAAAATAGTTACCAAATCATCCAATAAGATAATCTGTACGAAAAACCAAACTGTAGGCCAGTGGAATATCATGGATGATATCATTTACCAGTATCACATGCTGCAAAATGAGATAGAGATGGAAGCAATTGATGAAGAAGAATCTGCACTCATTGTCGCAGCTGTTGTACTGGTGGGAGCCGAGCAGACTCGGCAAGAACGAATCAACAGACGTCAACCACAACGACTTTATCTCTGCCGCACGCAGCTACTTCCTAATCCACGGTTGAGTACCCCATGGCAAACTTTATTTGCAAGCCAGAATGACCAAGCCTTCATTACAACCATGGGCTTTGACATGGACACATTCACCTTCATGCTCACATCTGGCTTCGCGGAACACTGGTATCATACACCCATTCCTCGTGACGACATCAGTCAGTATGCTAATCCTCGCATTGAACGTTGATCTCTTGATGCTGGAGGTGTGCTTGGCCTCGTATTGCACTATCTGAACTCAACAATGCATCAAATTAGTCTGCAACAAATTTTCACACTCATCCCAACGATGGTTTCACGGTATCTTTCGTTTGGCATCCGCATACTCCTCCTCACTCTGTGCAACATGGCTGATGCCAAGATTTGTTGGTTGCATGGAGACGAGTTTGAAGAATGCAGTGCTCTAGTTGTGGCACGTCATACATGACTTCAAGGAGCTTTCGGTAGCATAGATGGCTTGAAACTTCCTGTGCAAACATCGGACGACGCTGACATTGAAAATGCCATGTTCAATGGCTGGTTGTCAGAACACTTTATCAGTTCGGTTCTCACATTTTCGTCACAAGGTAAACCTCATTCATTTTTCAACAAATTTGTCCTAATCACATGTATCTCAGGCATAATCATAGCAGCGAGGACAAATGCACCCAGGAGCTGGCACGACTCTCGTGTTGCAAAGGAAATTTATGCAGCCCTTCGAGATGACACTCCCGCAGGCTACTATATTGTAGCTGACACTGCCTTTCCTCATGGAAGCAATGATATCGATGGCTGCATTTGTGCCCCTCTCAAACAGGGCCAAACCTTACGAGGCTCCGCAGCGGACATAGAGGAATGCATGGCGTCCAACTGTGAATTGCTTTCATATAGACAGACAGCCAAATGGGGTATGTGAGGCCTCCAAGGTACATTTGGCCGTCTCCATGTTCCACTCGACATATCAGACACAGAGGCCCATGCTGATCTTATCAAAACATGTGTACATCTGCACAATTTGCATGCAAAGAAGGTGGGCATCAACCAAATATGTACTGTGTATATGAATCATTGGCAGGCCACTGACGAAGATCTTGAGGTTTGGGGTGATTTTGAAAATATGCTATTCTCCGAGCAAAGGCAGAAGGACAGGGTCACTAGATTTCATGTAACATTAGAGTACCAGTGAATACTAACTACTGGCTTCGGAGAATCAAACAAATAGAATGACTTGTGGGGCATGAACAACTATGAGATGTGTAAAGGACTCATAAAACTGTAACGAAGGAAAAACAACAACTTCGAGACTTGCATAGTCAAGTCAATTAAAGGATGATAGTAGAATGAAATGAAACTTGTCATCTGAATAGTGTGATCCCCAAGTGATGACTCTGTGGGCGTAGGTGAGTAACTGAGACCAATGTATGACGAGACAGCATCATCTAAAGTAATGTCCTTCATATCCCCACGGAGTCTGGAGTGCCATCCTTACTGCGCGGCTCATCACCCATGATGGTGTCCTTGGCTTTCCACATAGCCAGACGGTGAGATAAGCATCGTCTGGCTGCCCTCGCATTACATGCTGGCCCCCCAATATGCTGTCTTTTATCAGCAGACAAGTCTTCATATGGTGCAAATTCCTTGTCTGTCAACCACCTGATTGACTGGCCTCCGTCTGGGTAATACTCGTGCATCATTGACTTCCTTTTGGGAGGTGGAGAACACATCTTCCTATGGTGCCGACCACCCGATCCCGATGTCTGAGACTGCAGCATCTCGACACGCAGATCTGCCATGTCACAGGCACGTTGAGAGTCGTATAGCTTGCTTCACAAATCAAACACTTGTGCATGAAGTGTGTCAATTCTGGCCTGTGCATCTTGTAGCTGCTGGGCCTGTGCCAGTAGCTGAGTATTAGCGAGACTCTGATCTGCTCATTCTTCGTCATGAGCTTGCTGTGTGGCAGGATCAAATGCCCCTGACAGACATGTTAGCAACTCTGCAGCAGTGGCACCACATGCATTGCATCGTGGCACTGGAGCCTCAGTGCGAATAGCCTTTGTAACAGCCACATGTTGTGGCTTGTCTGGGCCAGAAGAGTTAGAGTGAGTGTCGTCGTCATCACGTTCGTCGTCAAACTCTGCGTCATTGAGATCACGCGTGCCTGCATGTTCATTGATGAGTGCGTCAATTTGGTGTGCACAGGTGACTTCAGGTGGGCAAACACCATCTCCAGTGGGCTTGGTAGTCTTGATGAGCTAAGGAGGGTACAGTGAGAAGAGATTGAACAAGGGAGGTTGGGATCTTACTTGTTTAAACTTCATTTCAAGGGAACTGAGTTTTCGATCAGGACATCCCTGTTCTGTCGCCCACTCTGAGAACTTGACATGAATTTTCTGCCAGCCTCGCTGGCCTAGTGGCTTTTCCCTTTCGACCAAGTTGAGAAGTGCGTTGATGTCAGCAGTAGTATAATTGTTAGAGCCTGATGGGCGCCCGTGCTTGACCCTGATATTGCCATCATCATCAGCTGTGATTTCACGGGCACACTTGGTGGGTTGTGAGTTTCCCTTGCCCTTTCCTTTGGTGGTGTGGGCCTTTTGACAGGCACCAGCTGTTTTTGAGGCAGCAGTATAGCCATTTGTCTTGGCAATGACCACTGGGTCAGTCAAGTCCAGATCGGCACTGTGAGGCAGCGGCTGGAGGGCAGGGTCAATGGTATCGTGGTCAGATTCACGCCAAGTGAGTTGTGAACCACTCGCAATGGGTGAAGGTGAAGGGTGGTGCCAACGCTGGGCAGAGAATTGGGCTGGGGTGTCGAGTGGATAGGTGGATGGCGGAGTGGGCTGGGTCTGTTGCACATTCAGTCAAACATATGGTATGATAAGTGAAACATACCTGATAACCCTGGGGGCAAGTTCCATTGGTCCTCGGAGTGAGTGACACAGTACCGTTCAGCCCAGTGTGCGCAAAAGGATCAGGTTGCGAGATGTGCAATGGACGTGCAACTGTCTGTGCGATCCCGGGGTGTGGCTGCCATGCTCCAGTGTGGTCACAACTGTATGCATTCCCAGCACCATCGTAGTGCAACTTGTCGATAGTCATGAGTGTGGAACTTCAATGAAGTGTAGTATCAGAGAAAGAAAGGACCCAGATCAACGAATGCTTACCTTGTACTCCTCGACAGTGTCTCTTTATATGCCAGGAGTCCGTCATCCATTGGAGGTCGTCGTTCTGGGCTTGTATGCCAATATATTGCAATGCAAAGGGCCCTGAAATGGTTGTCGTTCAACAAGGTGAACCAAACACAGAAGGCAGGGTTGGAGAATGAAAATTTCTTGAGGGGACATTTGCATTGGATGCCAGTTGTCTGTCGTACGTTGATATTGAGACAGGGTGGCAGGGCTGTCCCTGTGGTGAGAGCTAGTGTCAGGCTCATAGTAGTTGGGGTGCCCACAAATTATCCAAGCCAGTGCCTATAGAAACAAGGTAAGTATGTGAAAGCCTATGAGGGATCTGTGATGTGTGAGAGCTGCAGTATCGAATGGTGCAGGACGGCGCAGCCTGTGCAGGTACTATACAGTAAGATGCGGTAAGATTATGTCAGCAGATATCGCTGGTGTGAGTAGTCCAAAAAAGGCAAAATGTAGCTTTATTCTTGTTAGAATAATCTGTAGGGGGGGGTATACCCCCCCTCCAGATTTAAAGTTTATTGGGGGGGGTAGACCCTTGTTGAATTTCAAATGGTAATGAAATGACACCTGGCATCGCAGCACACCTTCCTAAAGCATGAAATTATATTCTATACCGCATTATTTTTGCCTATGGGAAGTCACCCACTGTCTATCTTAAATCCATAATGGCACCAAGTACCATAACAGCTTTTCTCAAACCAATATTTTTACTCACTTCTATTATTCTTCCATACTTGATTTTGCTGTTGCCATCAGTTCTCAAGTTACAATTCCATGCCAATCTCATGTTTAGCTTCACAGTACTAGGGGTAACCACCCTGATTGCAAATCTGTACTATTTATTCTCTTTGGTTCCATCCCTTGTAAGTCCTTATCTCAGATTCTCAGATATATTTGTGAGCATGATAGACTCAACACACAGGGACTTGATCATGAATTGGGTTGTATCGCCCAACTTTTCAATTGGGTAGTGAACCTCACTTACCTAATGTCTACAAGTGAGTTTCATAATCATTGATACTCTGATGTCGTCTGACCCTAAATATTTTTAGCCATGCCTGGCATCCAGATATTCTCTTTTCCAATAATGACAGCACTGCTCATCATTCTCTTCCCAGCAATGGAACTTCTATTCTGGGCCTTTGTAGGTAGTGGAAGAGAGAGAGTTCATCTTAATGCCTATGGGGAGATCCATGACTGGATCATACTCAGGTGGGGTAACTTATTGATGGGTAAGTATACTAATATTCTTCAGAACGGATCTTACTAACAAATATTTATGTAAAATACTGATACCAGATTGCTTTGACTGTTGCTTTGACTGTATGAAGTGGGTTGGTGAGTGGGTAATTACACAGCCATCAGAGACTACTTTCCATGCAATCCACCCAACCAGCAACTAGAAGATATTGGTATACCTCCATATTCAGTAAGCATCATCGTCTATTTTTGGTATTACCCTACTAACTAAATTATAATCCAGTCCAATGTTTTTACTCGCCATTCAGTATCTAGTAACTCCTCAGATGTGACCATGACAGATGCACAGTGAAGGTGTGAAAGTCCATTACTATATATAGATACATTCTTGGCACTGTATTCCTACTTAGTGTGTTCTTTTACTTACAATGTCATTCTGCCTGAGTTTCATACTTAGCTTCAACTTTCAAATGTTCTGGACAATACAATGTTTTAGAATATCATAGATCAAAAGTTTATATATATGTGTGACAAACATATTTTTATTTGTATGTACACATGAGCATTAAATAGAACCAGAAGACGAACTGTCCTGTCCCATGAACCTGAAACAATGTGATGTTCATCCAGCAAGCATGCAACAGACTCAACAGAGTCAGTGTGGCAAAGAGGGGCACACAATGCCTTGCCAGTAATCATATCCCACACCTGTATCATTCATCAAATAGACCACACACAATGCATTTTCTGTCTAGCAACAGTGCAACAGAGTTAACACAGTGATTCACATGGAGTATCTTCTCCATCTGAGGCCAATTTTTGACATGGCCAGTGACGATGTGGGGGGTGCAAGGAAACTTTGATGTGAACTTCTAAAACATTCTCGACTGCATTGGAGCGAATAGCAGAGCAGATAAATATAAATAAGGTGTGCTGTACAAAATGGTGGCTGCAAAAGTTCAGACAAAACACAGGGCATCCCTGGTAACATCACCAACATGAGTGGACTCGGCATGACCCTATGACCACCCCACTACTAGTAAGAATTTTTTAGGAATAGAACGAGCTTGAGCTATGCATTAAAAACCAAATTACAATATATGAGAGGGTCACTACTGAACTACCAAGGCTTTTCATCAGAGCCAGTGCTTCCAACCACCAAAGAAGGTGTTCTCTATTGAGGAAAACTTCAATTTCCTTGGCAAGTGATGATGCAAAGGATGTGGAGTCGACATGTGTGCCCCAGAATCTACAAGAGTATGATAGCTGAGTTGAAATAGAGTCCTTCCCTCATTTCTCCAAATCAGGTGTAGAGACTCATGTCTCCACAGACACTCCCCTCCAAATTCTCTCACTTTCCCTACAAACTCCAGCTCTAATCCTTAGGATGTGTTTAGCGCATTAGTGCACTTGTTTTATTTTCGCAGATATCGCATATGGCCTCGCACATCCGCACTCACTTTGTCCACGCACTTGTCCACCCATCCATCCCATGTCCTCAGAAGTCCATTGGTATGTTTTCCCATCCTATTTCCATTTTGCTTAATTGTTTTCCATCGCTAATGCTTAGCTCTATGCTTTGCATGTAACCAAGACCCTGTTACATACCACGCGTACTATTTATAGCCTGTTTGGCTCATTACATCGGACCTGTGCACCTAGCTGTAAGGATCACATATCCTCTACACCCCAACCACCACTTCAACATAAACGCACAGACCTTGCACCCAAAGCCACGTGACTCACTGATGTAGAGAAGTGTTATACTTTGCATCAGAATCATGCGGACACATTATTTTCATTCCGTACACTCATTATCTCACCATTGTCAATGATGAGCACAGTCCTTTCGCCTTCCTTACATTCTCACTTCGCCAATATCGACCCTCAAACCCTTCTCTCGTTACATTTGCACCTTGCTGTATCAAAAACTGTCAAACCACTACAAAATTCTTGTCACTTTATCCAAACCAAACTCATTTATACTGCCACTCATTCAGTTCTTTCCTATTCTTTCTCTTGCTTGCACTACCCATCACTCAGGACCAACACCACTCCCTTCTGCATCCATTTTTCACCTAATACTACGGACTGTTCATGCCCAAGGATCCTTATGGTTTTGTGCTTATATACTGCCCATGTACACTCTCATCTAATAGTGAATCATATCCCCAGACTTCCACTCCAAGATACTTCAGAAGTCCTCTAGTCCACACCTGTTTTGAACATCTCGAATGTCTTTCTGCACTTTCCACTATCTCTATCTAACTCCTAACTCACTCACAATTCCCTTCAAACTTATATAGCCGCCTTACATAGCGGCACTTAGTTATCTTACTTATACCCCTCTATTACTTATGTACTGGATCAATTTTATGCCCACTTTCTCTGTGTCCTTAGATACTAGAGAATTTTACTTGTTGTTTGCAGTGACTATCTAAAGTCGTGCACATAAGTTGTCCATTTTCGCCTTAGCATCAGCCAACCTTAGTTGGGGTGTTAACAGTCATCTTGCCTCATCTCTCTTTCATCTTCCTTGCTTGTTCGTACTTTGCCTTCGCTCGCATGCACTACCTTCACATCACACACCTCACCCTTTGCCTTTCACACTTGTGTGTCTGCATATCATTTATCACATCGCTCTTGCCTCACACTTCGTGCGTCCTACAGTCCTTTTACCCTATTAGTAGTTTGGTGTCCCTTTTTTTTATAAGAGAGGTTTCCCTTTACCCAGTTAGCTGCCCTTGGGTTGACGTTTTTGCTCACGCCCGGGTCTACCTGTGTTTGCTTAGCTTAGCACCAACTTTGACCACAATTTAGATTCCTCATCTTCATAGGGATGGAGGAGTTAGGCAAGTAAGAATTCTCTAAGAAGCAGATGTTGAAGTAAAGTTTGCCCTCCATAACCCAAAGTGAGGCAAAGGCAAGATCACTCTGTACCAATGACATATCAATGAAGAAGTCATGGCTCCACAATGAATCTGTGAGAAAGTTGTAGAAGGATGCATGAAGGGGACAAATCAGAGTCTGAAGATCTGCAGTCCTAAGACATGCTTGCCAAGTTGTTTCCCCATACAAAGAAAAGAGATCACATTGAATGCCAGGCAACAATGTAGCGATGTGAACCCACTGAAACTCTTTGTCTCTGAATAATGGACAATGAATTCCACACACTTCAGGGTGTGTTGTGCTATATTTGTATATATATCAATCATAGACAAAATGTTGGCCAATGCCTTCTTCTCTATCACTGAGACATAGACATTGGAGATCTTATTGAGCAGATCAGATACAGTGACATCCAGGTTTGTCTGATTGAGAATCATCTGTCACCAACACATCCCTGTCAACTCATGGAGTGAGAGCATGAAAACATGCACCTTGGATGCTTAAGTCAAAACAGACAATGCTAACTTTGCATATGGATGGAGCTATATATGAATGTCAGTGGCGTACTAGGTAAGTATTTTGAATGATTCCTCGAATAGGATTGATGCCTGCAACACCTGTTTTGGCATGTGTGAGTGTTTCTGTCACAAGCATCATGTTAGTTGGTAATTCCATCTGGCAATGAGTCTTAGTATGCAATTGAAAGAGAGATAAAGCTGATTGTACTGACCTTCGTGATCCCTGGTGTAAGGATAGTATATCCTCTACACCCTGACCAAGACTTCAAATCAATGAATGGACTTAGCGCCCACTATCCACATGACTCACTGATGCGAAGAAGCATCATGCTTTGCATCCAAGTCACGTGGACACATTCTTTTCTTCTTACCTTCATTATCTCACTGTCGTCAACAACAAGCACAGTCCTTTTGCCTCCCTTACACTCTCACTTCACCGATATCAACCCTCAAACCCTTATTTCATTACATTTCACTCTGCTGTGTCAAAACCTGTCAAAACCACTACAAAATTCTCATCACTCTATTCAAACCAGACTCATCTATACCACCACTCATTCAGTTATCTCGTACTCTCTCTCTTGCTTGGACTACCTATACTTCAGGATCAACGCCACTCCCTTCTGCCTCCATTTTTCACCTAATTGTATGAACTATATGTACATGAGGACCCTTATGGTTTTGTGCTTAAATACTGCCCATGTACACTCTCAACTAATAGCGAATTTTACCCAGTGTTTTCCCACTCCAAAGTCACTCACAGAAGTCTCAGAAATGTATCCCAACCGGTTTATTCTTGTTTTGTCTCGCCTTACTTTCTCTATGCCTATTTCAAAATGTGTATCTCTCGCGTTCAGTTCACAATCCCCTTTCAAACTTTAACCCAGCCTTACACTGGATTGAAAGACTGGTCAGGATTTGGTTTGGGAGTGGAGACAATGAGGAGTGAAGGATGCTGCAGGAGCAATCATCACCTCACCCTGTGGGAATAATGCATTACCATTACAAGACACATGTATTGCGTTTATATTTATTGTAATGATACATTTACATAATGATAACTATTAATTTTAGTTAGATGTTAGGTTAGGGTTAGTTAGGGTTAGTTAGTTAGTTAGTGGTCAGGTTATGATTATATTCTGTCTTGGAAAGTTAAATGTTAAATTAAAGGCTGGTGCACTGATAGTGTTTGTTTTTTTTTGCTTTAGAGTTGGTCCTTTGGGGTCATAGACCCTGTTGGACATTTTTCTCCTCATAAGCTTCTTCTCTCTTTTGTTTTGTGGGTGTGTCTTATCGTCGTTTATGCTTACTTGTACTCTGTCACCGAAGTGAGCAAGGCACAAATAGGAAAGCTGCAGGGAGAAGGTATAGTTAGTAGAGGGTTAGGATAGGGTACATTGCTGCATGTTTGTTCTGTGTTGTTTTTGCAGTACTTCCTGTTGATGTTGTTCCTCTAGTATCATATCTTCTCTTCGTCCCGTCAGTGACATTGTTTTCCAAATGTTGGTCCCTTCATGAATGAGTAAGGTGGGGGGTGCAGGGTTGTTGGTGTCGTTATTCTTTTGTTGCATGCATTTTCTACATGGTTTTTACAGTATCGTCTGTTTTACAAATTTACAGCTCACCAAAGGTGGGTTTGAGTCACCCGGTGCTGTTTACATATCTTAGGAGGTGTGGGGTAGCGGTTTCAGATGATAGGATGTGAGCTATGGACAGGGCGCCTCAATGTGTTGCATTTGCGAATATGTGACATTCTCTTCAATATTGGGGACATTCAAAGATGAAGTGGTTGTTGAATCGTCATAGTCGTCATAGCTCTCAGTACATTTCCTTTTTCTACATTATCACGTGCATTCACATACATAATATGTTCTGTTTCATCTCATCATACCTCAGTCGTTGTCTCCCAACACTGAGGTATGTTCGTCGGTCTCTAGTCGTCTCG